ATCAAATGGAGAAATGCATATGTATGTAAACCGAAGCAAACAAATACTTGCGCTTTAACAAGAAATCGTTGCCAATGATGTATTCCATATAAATAGTTGTGTACACTATGCCAACCAAGAAACTGCGTATATATAAGAAACAAAATCGAGTTTGAATCATGAATGGGATCGCCGTAGTTGGGTAGCAGACCTGCTGCTGCTACTTATTGGCGAACTAAAGAACAAGGCAGCTATTTATTAGACTTTAATTTCATACCAAAAAGCTTTGCACAGGATAGCCATATGAGGGCCATCATTTCCAGGGAAAATTCGGTGACCAGGATCCCAAATCAGATCTACTGAGAGGTGCATGGAGACACTATTCACCTTTGATACATTCTTTTTGAAGGAATTTCCGTCATCTCTTGTCAGTTTTTCATTTTAGACAAACCGGTTTCGGAGTAGTGGCATTTTAATTTCAGTGTCACTTTTGGTTACCGTGGTGATGGAAATTTATTCCAAAATACTATGTACATCGTAATCCTACCCTGTCGGAAGCATCAGCAATCAAAAATAAAATATCGAAGGCCGCTATCTAAGGCTGAACCCACATCCAAGACGAGAAATCGTTTGTTGGTGTCGTTTAGAGCATTATTTCTTATTATTCAACCCATATTATATGAGTCGTAGCACGACACAAAAATGGCATACAATCTTAAACGTACCCACAGATCCGCTGTGCTCTATTCTGCACTCCGCGATCAAGAAATGTGGAAAATCGTAAAGGTTGACGCACTGCCACACCCGCAGCTCTTGCTGTTTTAAACAGAAAAACTCAAATCTGAAAGACGTCAAAATCTATAATATTATCCTCCACCATTTATTGTATTCGAACATCGATGTCAATCCGTATATCATTAAAGCCGCTTAAATGCTAACTAATATTTAAGATTAATTTTCAACACATCTTGGTATAGCAATTATAGAATTCACTGGAAAAACTGATACCATCTTTGATTGCTGCCTTTAGAGAAATAAAAATATGTAGATATGTATGTGACAACAATAAATCAGAATGCAATTGCAAATGCATATTCGTACTTGCATTCTTACTTATGGCGTTTTGTTTTCAATTAAAAATTTTGCCTTTTCATTGCCCTTTTCTTTGCATTTATGCCTGGAGGGCACTGAGAAGGCAACATTTTTCAGTAGAAAAGAAAACGCCATTAATCAAGTGCTATGGGGAATTACTTATTTTTTAACAGTCACCTGCCAATTCAGTTACTTCGCTTAATTTGCCTAAACGTAATTAATTTATAATTATCTTCAGTAATTCTGCATTTTTTTTTGTTAAATAATATTTAATTGCTTAAATAGTGGGTATAATTAACGTACAAATGTATTTATGTATAAAGAAAATAGTTGGAACTGCTATTTTTAACTTTGCTATTTACGTACTTTGTTTTTATTTAGAGGAGTATGAAATGCGCTCAGAGAGATTCTAAATAACGCACTTAACAATGATACGACTGCTGCAGCTTATTATTCGATCAAAATGGCAGTAAGTAACTTTCACACGAGAAAAACGGCATTCACCTCCCATAAATAGAATCCCCAACAAGTATAGTAGAAACTGCAATCCTTACTAAATTTACCCAACCACAGTTTTTTACATCACTAAGAAATGTAAGTTGACGCAGTAATACCAGGAATCTCAATAAATTACTCCTTTAGCAGCTGTAAAGAGGAGGATGAGGTGGAATCATCTCAACACTTTCTATTAGAATGTGCAGTCTTTGGGAGGATGACATTCCGGCTCGCGCTTCTTAACTAACCCTGTGCTCTCAGGCATCCAAATTAGTCGCAATCGAGATTTCTAAACTAACTAAATTAATGATCTCCGTTCAGTTTTTCGTTCTATGTATCTCTATCATTCTCCTAATTGTCCAAGTGCGCCCCCTTGCCTTGGGCGACACTTTAACCTAGCCTAAGCGCTATCCCGATTTTAGAAATTCAGACCATCAAAAAGTTCGAACATTTTATGAAATTTGAAAACTTTTTAAACAAAGGAGGAGGTTGTTTTTTCTCCTTTTGTATATACATATCGACACGTAAGTGGAAGATCGACCTATCTCGGCAGCCAGTTCGAAAACGTCCTATCTCAGAAATCTTTTCAAGAACGCTCTATTTCAGAATTTTACTGAAGAATGCTCTATCTCAGAATTGGGTTCAAAAGCGCTTTATCTCAGCACATTTTCAATACATTTTCATTTAAGTTAGGGTGTTCTTCAATTATATTCTGAAGTAGGGCATTTTTGAAAAGATTTCTGAGGTAGGGCGTTTTCGAACTGGCTACCAAGATTGGTAGATCTTCCACTCAGGTGTCGATAATTGTTTTTTTTGTCGGAGCGATTGTTTTTTATGCTTAAAAATTACTGGTTTGTTTAGTGTTTAAAACTCCTATTCAAACGGTTTGGGCTAAAGTATGGACAATATTTTTATCAGAAATTTACAAAAAAATTTAACATGAAAAACTCTTAATATACATATGTATAAAATCCCCATTTTGAAAGTTTTGCTCCTCAGTGTTTACCGCACACAATCTCCAATTAAGGCAAATATTTTTGTTCTTTATGATTATATTCTCTCAACTATGAAACAGACATAAGAGGTTTTGGTATTAATTGCATTGAATCTGTAGGTACCATCCACAAGCAGTTATATTTTCGATATGTATGTATGTATGTAAATTTGCTTTCATAAAAACTAAGCAATACTATAATTGTTTTATTAACCGACTTCCAAAAAAGGAGGAGGTTATCAGTTCGTCGGAATATTTTTTTTTTTTTTTTTTTNGTCAACCGATTTCGATAATTCTTTCATCGGAAAGGTAGTGTCTCAGAGGTGGTCCCATACTAATCTGGTTAAGAACCGATCAGCGGATCATGAGATATATATATATATATTTTTTTTTTATATGGGAGTTGAAGTCGGTTTTTTTTTTGCTAAAAATTACTAGTAATGAATGCCATTCTTTGTGTAATTAAGTATTACCGTCTTCGACATACTTTTTACCATCGACTTCATTCCAGTTAGTAAATGTATGCCCTTAATGTTAAATATTTTTCAAATGTTTAAAGGAATAACAACCAAAATTTTCTGACTACTCACAAATGCAGAGCACTACAACACAGTCAACTGTTTCCCTGTCCCACATACACCATCGAACATTAAAAATACAACAAATATTATTTAAAAATCAAACGACATTCGATAACCAAAATCTTCAATGAAATTATGCAATTTGCTGCTAAATTTAGCCTCGGAATAACCTTGGCGCTAGAAATACGCATACGCACACCTACACACACACATATGTATTTAAGCATGCTAAGGGCTACTTGCACGCAGCATCAGCTGCTACTTGCCACACACAAACAAAGCCCATTTTGTTGGGAGGGGGGGTGTGCGTTTTTGTTGTTGTCACCTATGTACACGCATTAACCGTTTTGCAAACGAACTAATTGAGCGCAAAATACACAATATTCATTGAATGGCAGTGGCTGCAGAATTCCATATACACACATACACACATATGTACTTAGACATGTGTAGTTGGAGTATTCGCAGCTGCGCCGCCGATAACTGGTTGCTACTTGCGACATGCCACATGCCACATGCCACATGCCGCGCACAGGTAGCAACGCTTATCAATCGTATACAAAGTAATAATATGCGTGCAGAGGTGGCCGCCGCCACTCACACTCCTCTGTGTGCGTTTATTGCTAGCGTATGTGTGTGTGTGTGTAAAAGTGTTAAACGTTCTATACTTCTGGTGTATTCGCAGCCATCGTTAGGGGTTGAAATTGCATTGCTGCACTCATTGGTGCTTGGTGGACAGCAATTTCCTAGCGGGTAGATGGCATGACAAAGCTGAGCATGCGCATTGGTCAGTTGGTTTTACGTAATTTGCACAACCGTAGTATACTTGCAGGCGGGTAAGCACAGGGAATGTTGACAGCTAGAAGAAGCATAGAAGCATGGTACAATGGATAAAAAATCCAGTACGCATACAAGCGCGCTGTTTTATCTACAAATGTATGTATGTATGCGTGTGTTTAATGGTGACTTTGCCACACCGCAATGATCAATCTGGACATGCAAAGGAGAATTGGCAAATACGTTGACAATTTTTCGATGAGGAATGAGAGAGGTTGCTTGAATGTATTTGGCGGTGCTTGGGCCAGCGACTTTTTGCCAAATCCTTCGAATCAAAGCCGGCCAGATTTAGCTTTGCACTTGTTGCATTCGGACAAATAACGGGACGCTGCAAATCGAGATCGAGAAAATCGAAGTGAACGAACGGGTAGTACATAGTTACCATTAATTGTAGCAAAAAAAAAATTAAAAAATAATCAAACAGGCAAATCAGGAGATTATTAAATTCTACAACATTTTTGCTTTTGGCTTGCAGCGAAATTGCGAAATAATTAACAAATCTCTACAAAGTTACAACAACAATTATAAAATACCCTTTCTTGTTTGTCATGCAGTTGTGCGCAATTTGGAGAAAATGTACGCCATAAACGATTTCGAGCTGTTCTTCAAAGTGGATATAACTTAAACAAAAAAATTCTATAGTGAAAAGTTAAAACAAAACATATTGCAAAAATGCCGTGAATACCTACATACTAGGTAACACAGCGAGTTTCAATACTCTCCTAAATAAAAAAAAAAAAAAAAAAAAGGTAAAACGCAGTGAAACTATTAACAACAAATTAAGTAAAAAAGGCAATTTGCATTTGTGAAGCTTTAGTGTCCTATAGCACCGCACGCAAATTAGAAAAATTCAAGTATTTCCAAATCGAAATAAGTGAAAAGAGATATTCTATTATTCAGCATTTTGCATTCGTGGCAGTGGAAATTTTTTTCGTGTCACATCGTGTATAGCGTTCGTCATTGACGCAACGTCATTCGTTTAGCTGCCATATTGAAAATTGGATTACCTAACGCATTTCAAAATGGAGGACGAGAGTGACGACAAGGACGACACAAAAAGGTACGTCGACAACATATGCACATATTTATGTATACATCTATGTATGAATTCCACTTCGTAATCGTATTATTCAACACCTTGCAAAAGAATATGTTTGTTATTATTTGCGCACGACGGTTACTATATTTGCAATTACACATTTACAATTTTTCCTATATGTATTAGCTAATGATTATTTATGAAAAAAAACAATTCACTTAATTTAAAAACATTGCATACAAAAAGACATTTAAATTGTTAAATAAACATTATAGCTTTTATAATTCGATTCTTAAATTTTTCACAAATCTTACAAGAAATGGGTTTTAGTCATTGAAGGCATATTTGAAAATTGTGATAAAATATCCGTAATAAAGCCATTCTTGTTCATAAATGTCCAACGAACTCAAACCGGTTCCTTCTTGGGCCTTCATTCCTTTACCAAAAATCAATACAAAGGGCCTTTTCTTTTAACCCGTTGCTGGCATTTGTACCATATATCGTAAAATTTTCTTGCAACTTTTGAAGACTTTTTATTTTTATTTTTTTAGTGCTGTCTCTTGCCGAAAAGTGCATATCTTTTATCTTGTCAAAATTAATGCTATAAAAGATCTACACAAATACAAATGTAATTTTAGCTCAAAATGCGATTTTTTTGACCGAAGAAGCAAACCCGTGTATGTACCAAAAATGCCACATAACTACTCCTTTCCCGAACATTGTGCGATATGTCGTACAAATTTCAGTGAGCCGTAGACCACGCCCAGCCCTTTTTTAGTTTTAAGTTATTTTAAACAAAATAGTCGTCAAAAATTTAGTTTTGATTTTTTTAGATGAATTATTTAGAAAATGGTAACAAAGGGTTAATGATCTACGTAGAGAAAAGCCGCGCATACTGGCGCCAAAAAGAGTGAATGTCATTTATATTTCACTACCCCATCTTTAGCATTTGTTCCAAATAATATATAGTGCATTAAAATATGAAGGATTATTAAAAATGTATTCTGTAATGTAATTTTAAATTCATCTTGACTATATTCCTTTTACTAAAATAAATCAGTTCTTTTGCTATACAAAAATATTGCATTACTAAACTGCAAGAAAGTCACTTAAAGTTTTTTGGAGATTTTCCTATTTGTAGAGAAAATGAGAGTTGTTAACTGAAAGAGTTTGAAAGTAATGTGGAATTATCAGTGAGTCCTAAAATCTAGTAGATTTAATTTTTGGGAAAATTTCTTTATTTCTACAGAAATTAACAGCTTATTTCAGAGCTGTCAAACTTTCAATTAGAAATAATATACGTTATCAGCCTGTATTAAAATTTAATAGGTGGTATTTTAAAAAAGAATTTCTTAATTTTACAGAAATTGAGAGTTCAATTAACAACTATCAACTGTCAAGCTTTAATTAGAAATAAAATTCGTGTTTTTTTTATTCCCGAGCGCACTTGCGCACAAGGGTATTATAACTTTATTCACGTAACGGTTGTTTGTAAGAGGCAAAACGAATCGAGATAGATATATAGACAAATGTATACATAAATGATCAGAACGAAAAGAGAAATCGATTAAGCGGTGACTGTCTGTCCGTCCGTCCGTCTGTGCATACGATAACTCGAGTAAAAATTGAGATATCTTAACGAAACTTGGTAAATGTTTTTCTTACGAGCGTAGGACGGATGGTGTTGAAAATGGGCAAAATCGGGCAATAACCACGCCTACCTCCCACATAACGGTAATTCAGAGAAATACGAAATCTTCGATAAATCAGTAAATACTAAAGCTAATTTATTCAAAATTGATGCTTGATGAAATACGTTCATGATAAAATTTTGGAAAGTGAGCGTGGCGCCGCCCACTTATTATCACATACTTACTTATATGTATCTCGGTAACCGTTCTACCAATTTGTACCAAACTCGGTATGGTTATTATGATTGTCACATAGAAGCAAAGCATTGACAATTATTGAAATCGAAATAAAATTACGGCCACGGTAAATTTCAGAAATGCTTGAAACTATACTCTATATTTCCAGATTTCAGGTCGCTAATTTAATCAAAATTGATACTGGCAACAATGCCTTGAAAAGAAGTAACATTGTTTGGAATTTTGGAAAATGGGCGTGATATCGCCCACATATGACTATATAAGTTTATCTCATTATGTCTAACTGAACTTTCTATCGAAGGTGTTTAAAATAGGGGTAAAACCACCGGGCAGACCATTTAGAGGTAGTTTTCGGAAAGCGTTTTAAAAACCAAAGCAGTGGCATTTTCAAATTCTATGGCATATTCGAAATTAGCTTGACAATAGCATTTTGTTCACACAGTTTTATTAAAAACGTAACAGTCCTTCTAATTATTCACGTAAAATATGGCCTTTCCGACCACTGTCCGTCGTAAAGTTTAAATATGTTTGTAGGTAGATACTAATAGGGCTGGTAACCACAACAAAATATTCTTTAACTGTGAGAAAACTACTACTATAAGTATTATGAAACCCTGCGAGCTCTTTAACCTTTTTTTGCCGACTAACAAGTTTACCACATTCAGCAATAAGACACTTACGACCACGGTTGCCACTAAGTTTTTTTTATGGTTACCGAAAAAGCAATAAAAGCGACCTTTTTAGATCTATTGTGCTGGCAGTTCTCCGAAATCTTAGACCATTTATGGAATAAAGCATTTTGTATGGTGTCCCGTTCTAGATTCTGGATGGAGACGATATCCGCTCGCTAAATCTTGTAGAACCGTCGAAAAGGAAAATATCTCTCACATGAAAAACTGCTGGAATGCTGGAAAAAACATTTTACATTTTTTTTTTTTTTTTATTTATTCAGACAGGCGCCAAAATTCTTACACACGAAATTGTATTTATTTCTTAACATATTTTGTTATTTTGGAGCAATTGGCTTCTATTCTGCTAAACATAGTTGCTACAATTTGCTTCAGCTCTTTGACTTGTTGTTTGCGAATGCAACACTGCTCTTCATTTTGCAGAAGAAAAATTTTAGACTAATAAATCCTGCAAATTCTAACTGAGTTTGAGCATATTTCACTCTCACAAAAGTGCTTTTAGTTACAGGAAAATTGCTGCTGCTTTTCGGACAAAATCCTGCAAAACCTTCAAATCTCACTGCTGCTGGAATGCAACTATTAAATGCATGATAGTCTAATACTAGGTTTACATATATTATCCTCATCATTAACTCCCTCGTTAATCCGTAATTATAAAATAGTCTCAGATTAAACCGATAACTTTTCGGTGTCCAACCTAGTTTTATCGATTATTTTTGCGAAGAGGCGAAATTCCAAATGAAAAAGTAAACTCAAATGGACGCTAGCAAGGAAAAGAGGTTTGTAAAGGTATTTTTAAACAAATTTTAAGTTAACATATATTTCAGTTTCTTAATATAGCAGAAAAAGTGATTACGATGACACAGAGAAGCAACTTAACTTTTCCTTGAGATGTGAGAATAACAAACTCATCATATTTGACAGGTAATAATCTGCAATTTGCCTGTGTAAACGGGGTGATTAAAACGCGAGCTTTAATTGAGATTATATTTACATATATGTAAACATACATTAATTTTTAAATAAATTTTACATGACTTCATAAGTACTTTTTACTCACTGCTGCTCGAATAGTGTCTTTGCTTGGCACTTTATACACTGAAACCAGCTCCGGCAACTGTTGCACACGACTTGTTATCTACTACAATCAGTGCACGGACTTCGACAAAATGAATAGTGCTAGATTTTACATACGAAAAATAGTAGAAGTTAGTAGATTTTTTAAAAGAAGTATTAATAGATAGTTTCCATTCGTACAAGGCATGTTTCCAGCTCGCAAGAAAAACGAAGAATTCATATAAATGTTGTTCATTTTCATTTATAAGCTCGTCGAGCATATTTTGCTCGAAACCGCATTTGGGAATTGAAACGAAAATATGTACCTGCGTTCCGATTTTTCTAGTTCCTATTCGGCTTAAAGCACGGGCATGTAAAAAATTCGCCAATTGTAAAATTGTATGTACATATGTACAATTTTTAAGTATGTACAGAGCAGGGTGGCCACTTTGATGGTTGATAACGCTGTGAGACAAATGGTAGGGTCAGTGATCGGAAAGGGTTCAAACTACCGGGGAAAGTTATATCGGTAAAAAAGAAGTTATACGTGTCCCGGCGTTTCGCTGTTGATTATATAGAAAAACGTTATATGAACAGATTAAAGGAATTGTAATTTTTAATTTTTTTTTAAATTTGTTTGAGCAAAATCGGACTAGTGGTTCTCGAGTTATGTCAAAAAAATACCACCAAAGGTGACAATTTCCCCTATATGATAGTTATATATATATATGTCGATTCCTAGACGTAACCCAGCGAAACGCCGGGACACGTATAACTTGTTTTTGACCGATATAACATTTCCCGTTGGTTTCATCCCATCCCGATTTTGACTGTCGCATAGTGTAATGTAACTGGGTGCCAAGTTTTGATAACGTAACTTTGGTTCATACATTATTGTGTGAGTAGATTAGTCAACTTTTGATGGTTTATTTTCGTTCGTTCGATTAATCAAAGGCAAAACTTCGATGCAATTAAATAGTTAGCCGCAATATTATAACCATTTACATACATCTTTAATTTGTGGGCAGAAAAATTTGCTATCTCGTCTCTGTAATACTCTCCGGTTGACCACGGACCATAGACAACAGGAGCCCCCCTCCCCTTCGGTTGGTATCTTGGTTATGCAATGTTTTTAATACAATCAGATATCGAAACGGAAAATGAGCAAATCAAACAAATGGCATATCCATTTCAAATAGAAAAGAAAGTTCACACCTCCTAACAGTACCGAATATACATATGTACATACATACATATGTAGATAAACGGTGTTGAACGAGATTGGTAAAAACAAATTACTCTGATTTAATTAAGTTACATAATTGAATGTACATACATACAAATAAATACAGCGTTTGCAAATATTTGACAATATTTATGTATGTATGTATTAGGGATGTATGTATGTATGTATGTACGTATAATCACAAACGAACTAAGTTGTGAAACAAGAGAAAAAATACGCATATCACTAGGTAACCAATCGGAACTTGCTTTAGCGAAACAGAAAAACAGAAAAAAAAAAAACACATCGCGAAAAGAATGGGAAGCAGAGCTCTCCTTCAGCTGGATACGGTTGTCCGCGCATTGCAATTGCGCAATTGCGTAATGTCAAGTATGCGAACCGTATAGAAATGTTATATGTATTTTGACACAAACTGTCAAATGCAAGCAAGCGCCCGACTTATTGTAGCGCGAAATAAATGCAAAAGACATCATAGCCACGCATTTGGCATTTCACCTGAAATCGCACGCACACACACCGACCAGCGGCAACAAAGCTACTTAGTTAGTACAGGGTGCAAATGCATGTGTATGTATGTGCAGCTATGCATGTGGAGAAGGATAAGCGTGGGAGTGACGCTTGTAACTTCAAATTTTGAAAAGTAAACAAATACGAAAACATATGCAACGATTTAGTTAGAACTTTTTGTTTGTGATTAGTCAAGCGCGCTCTTGTAAATACATAGGTACACATACATACATACATATATGTACATCCATACATGCGATGACTGTTGTTATAAACTTAAGTTATTAATAAAATGAAATACCTTTGCTAGATACACATACATATGTACTTAAGTATATATTATTACATATGCGGATATGACGATGAAGAGTGAATGGCAACACTCAAACCTACATACATACATACATACATTCACATGTGCGTGTATTTTAGCCTCGCGTGTACAAGACACCCTACAACTGGTGGCCAGTCAATATTTCTTTCAGGGTCGTCAGCTGTCGCAGTGATAGCTTAAAATGTTTCTTTCAAGATCGCCGATCCATTAACTGCCAGAAGCACCTTGAAAATTTTAATGCTGAGGTTCTCGCACAGCTCTTTTATTTATTTTGAATAACTCTCTTGGATCAAAAAATGGTGGGTAGGCACTGTGGCCATTGGTAACTATCAATTACCACCTCTGCATGGTTGTTAAGTCGTACAGAGGCCGCAAAAAGCTCCAGGGAATGCGTTAGACTAGCCTGAGCCTTGAAGTGCAATCAACTTATTAAATAAGACACGTTTGCTATATGGCACCTGCGACGTGCATTTCCGGGAAAAACTAATAATTCCAACTACATATCCCAGTAGATAATTTCAGGAGTTAGGAGCCCTTCCGAAAGGCCTTCGTGAGAGTCAAGAGGCCTTCCACTCTATATTTCTTTCTCCTTTCTTTTTTGTATGGAGTGGCAAAAATTGAAGGGCTTCTTCTTTCGCTACCCATGGAAGGGCTTTTATAGGACGTACTTCAGAAGGCCTTTTGGAGGAATTATTTTAAAGTTTCTTCTTTAATTTATAAAAATCATACATCTTTGAAGTATTTGCTTAAGGTTTCTTGATTCTAGTTGGCTTAAAAAATGAAATAGTGGAAAAAGGCAACACGAATTCACAATGCGAACTTATCACAGTGCGTAGGCAACTGGCTGAGTCAGTGGGATCGTCGGTTCGAGTCCTACCGAAAGAAGACTGATGAGGAAATGTAGTGATTTCCCAAAATAGCTATCACTTCTACCATTTTTTTAAATTATTGTTGCTTTTCCACAATAAGTCTTTCATTAAAAACGGCCTTAAGATCAATAAAAATGTTTGAATATAATTTTTATAAGGCCATAAAATAACAAAAACAATTAATGAATTTAGTTTTTAGTCGGGTGGCAATCCTAGTAAACCACCCGAATAATATTCTAAACGTTCAATCTAAAATTTTCTTAACAATATTTCGTTTAAGACCCATATTTTAATTTTTCAGATGGCCTGCTAATAATTAATTTAAATTTGACTTTTCGAACGGGTGGCAACACTTTTCAAAATATTTTCAAACTACACCATTTTTAAGCCTCTTAACATAAATTTTTTAATATAATTTTCAAATAAATAATTCCCTTTATTAAAGTTGAATTTGATTTTATATATCTCCATACCATGTTCCAGTACTCTCGTAAAAATATTTCCTGCGATATGCAGTATGAAAAATACCGTTTGTATGGGAGGTACTACGCCCCCTTGTACAATTGATATTAAATCTATCTTATATTTTAAGTTGGGCTAAATGACACCAGTGTTTCATGGTGATCGGTTGAGTGATTAAAGCGTGAAAGCGTAACAAACAAACAAAACACACTTTCGGATTTATGATATTAGTAAGGGTAAGGATTATTTGACATTAAGATGGAATTCATTTACTGAATAAAATGTGAGGAATAGGTACATTAAATATGGTTTTTGTTGTTATAAATTTTATTTAAATTAAATTATTGATAAAAACGAGTGTAACTACATACGTATATACAATCTTTATGTACTATATCAAAAAAATTATTAAACGATAATTAAGACTTGGTGCTTTTGTTTTGGAAAAAACTGGCTTTTTCTGATGTCCTGATGCCACACTGGCTCTGTTGTCGCAAAGGTACATATACACACATACTCTCATTTTTACTCGAAAATAAGTGTGTAGTGGTTAATATGTATACGTTGCCATTTCTGTACAACTCACATCTCTCGCCTAGCCCTTTCGCGAGCTCGCAGTTGCCCTCGACGCCGACGGCGTGCACCTCTGCTGTGCATCCCTAATCTACGGCACTGCGGCGTGGTTATCAGTCTGAATATTATCCAGTCGCGCCTCTTCTCTACTAAAAAAACTTAAGCTTAAAACAGAGTTCCTGGTATCGTTTTGGTCATGAATATACAAATTTACGGAATCTTTGCCTAAACTGTTGCAACTTTTCTACACATTTCTTTGCGTATTTGTGTTGGAGAGCCCTAGGGTGCATTAAATGCAACGCCTTCTCCCTTAAACTGATCGTAGAGTGGACTTGAAATGCCCTTCCTGCAATATCTACAGGTACGAATGACCTGCGAATGGGAAGACCAATTACTGATGAAGCTTAAGTAATCTGCTTGAGGTCAATTTTGGCCATATTTGCCCATTGCGAATGCCCTCTATATGTACGGAGGGATCAGCTGCCCTCAAAACCTCACTAAAGTGTCAAACCATTTCACATTTTTTTTTTATGTATGTTACCGCATAACTTCGGACCACGTTAGCCGATTTCTATAATTCTTTTTTTAGAGGAAAGGTGTTACCTTACTGGTGGTCTCATATATTAATTTGGTTTAAATCCGATCATCGGATAATCAAGAAATAATCTTAAGTTTTTATATGAGAATTGAAGTCGGTTTCGTTTTTTGCGTAAAAATTACATGTCAACAATTCATTTGTACATTTTGTAGATTACTTATTTGGCACTATGGTTATAATGCTTTTCCACTTAAGTGTTATTATTTAATATTTCAGAAAATCTCGAAACCTGAGTGAGAAGAAGAGGCGAGATCAATTTAACTCCCTAGTGAATGATTTGAGTGCGCTCATATCAACATCAAATCGGAAAATGGATAAGTCAACCGTACTCAAGTCGACGATAGCATTTCTGAAGCATCACAACGGTGAGTATTTTAGATAAAATATAATTTGCCTTTAGTGGAGAGTTAACTCACACATTCGACAACAAACACTCGGCTTTTAGTAGGTACAAAAATTTAAGCCTACCTTCCATATGAGAGTTAAATCTCCACGGCTCTTAAAATTTCTTCTCCATAGTGCATACTACATACATACATAAATAATATAACCAGTAAATTTTCGGACATTTTCTTGCAGAGGCTACCGATCGTTCGAAAGTTTTCGAAATACAGCAAGACTGGAAGCCATCATTTCTGACCAATGACGAGTTTACGCATCTTATGCTGGAATCGCTGGATGGCTTCATTATAGTGTTTAGCGGTATTGGTTCCATATGCTATGCATCCGAAAGTATTACACCACTTTTGGGCTACTTGCCGGTAGGTAATCACTTTACCGCTCAATGATTAAGGCATCTTTTAAGCATCCCTGCATGTGTCTACATCTATTTGCAGAGTGACCTAGTGAATATGACCATTTTCGATTTAACCTACGAAATGGATCACGAAAGTCTGCTTAATATATTCTTAAATCCCAAACCGGTGATCGAGCCGCTACAGACTGACATCAACTCAAGGAATCAAATTACCTTCTATTTGCATTTAAGGCGTGGCGGTATTGACAAAGTGGACGTCAATGCGTACGAGTTAGTCAAATTTGTAGGTTATTTTAGTAAGTATGAATTACAATCTTTGAAGAACCCGAAATATAGGGTCTATTACGTGATTTTTACAAATTTTCCATATTTCATCAATGCAGGAAACGATGTGAGTCCGGAAAGCATACAAGCACAAAATACGCTTTCGCTGCCGCGCATCTTTCAAATGAATCCCGGTGCTGAGGTAGACAAGAAGCTGATTTTCGTTGGCACCGGCCGCATTCAGACGCCCCAGCTGATACGTGAGATGTCCGCGATCGATCCCACTTGCAGCGAGTTCACCTCGAAGCATAGCATGGAATGGAAATTCCTCTTTCTCGATCATCGAGCGCCGCCCATTATTGGCTACATGCCGTTCGAGGTGCTTGGCACATCGGGCTACGATTACTACCATTTCGATGATCTCGAAAGCATTGTCACATGCCATGAGGAGTGTAAGTGATATACCTACATATGTACATATACACACTGCATATCTATTAACGCGATCCTAACTAAATATAAAACACAATTTCACTCAGCAGTAATGCAGAAAGGCGAGTGCAAGTCCTGCTATTATCGATTCCTCACCAAAGGACAGCAATGGATATGGCTGCAGACAGAGTTCTATGTGTCGTACCATCAATTTAGCTCGAAGCCAGACTACGTTGTGTGCACACACAAAGTGGTTAGCTACGCAGATGTCATACGACAAAGTAAGGATGGGACAAAAATGGACAAGAGTTCGTCGATCAACAATAGCACCAGCAAATCATCAACTATGACGCTGCGCGACCTCGAGACCAGCAACCCAAGCCTGGATCCTTCCACACTGTCCGCGAGTGATAGTGGTAATGTGATATTGAGCATGTTGAACGAAGCCTCGCCTACGCTGGACACATCGCCGATATGGCCAAATTCCTCCTCAACCACTGGCATAACGCCCACCACTTTGAAGACATCGCGTCCCGCCTCCAGCTATGGTAACATTAGCTCCACTGGAATCTCGCCGACGGCAAAACGAAAACGTTACTTTTCGCACAGGCCTGGCAATGAATCTGACTCGACATCTATGTCTGCGGATTCTGTAACTAGCAAGCAATCGCTTATGACGCATTTGAGTTCGGTGAGTGGTCAGGCAGTCTTTACTATAGCATTTTATAAGAGTATAATGAGTAAATTTCCGCAGAGTCGACAACGCCATGGTCATAGCTCGGGCATGCAAATGTCTCAGAGCACAACACATGCACAGCAGCTGGCCGCAGTCAATCAACATTCGCTGCCGCAGCAAAACTCAGCGCTGCAAATGAGCCAAGCGCAAAGCCAACCGAAGATCATGCCGATGCTGCCTCAGCATACAATGGCGCAGGCGCAAATTGTCACGACTAACGCTTGCCAATTCACGCAGCCCACTTTCCCGCTTCCCAGTTCACAAATAGTGGGACCAACTTTTCTGGAACCCTCTCAGTACCTCGCCGCGATACCGGTGCAGCCGGTAATAGCGCAGTTTCCAGTTGCTCCGGTGCTATCTCCGCTGCCCATTAACGTTAATATGAACACCGCAACGCCGTGGAAAGCAGCAACACAGACACCGAATAACGCTTTCGATCAGCTGCAGAATCAGGCCGACATGATTTCGGGTGCGGTGGTGATGACACCGACCCAGACGCAGCTGCAGGATCAGCTCCAGCGCAAACACGATGAGCTACAGAAGCTGATTATGCAACAGCAAGACGAGCTGCGAATGGTCTCCGAACAGCTGCTGCTAGCGCGCTACAAGCTACTGCAGCCAATGTTGCCAATGAATTATAATACGCCCTCCAATAACAACCGCGGAAGTTTCAACTTTGCCAGCGGCAACGCTATGGAGCAACAATTTAATCAGTTCGGCTTCACGATGAATACTTCCGAGCATCTGCAGGACGCGACAAGTCAGCAAATGCTGATGCAACAGCAACAGCAACAACAGCACCAACATCCGCAGCAGCAACACACTATGCAACACCTGCCGCAGCAACAACAGCAGCAAATGCATAACCACAATCACCAGCAACAGCAACAGCAACAGCAACAGTCCGCATTTCAGCCCACCAATCTGCATCATCAGCAACAGCAGCAGCAGCCGAGTCAGCAACAACAAACTGCTCAGCTGCAACACGCGGCAATCCAGCAGCAGCAACAAGCGCCACAGTCGCAGCTCCAGCAACAGCAGCAATTAAATCTCTTATCTCGCAGTGTACCTGATCTGGCCCAATTTGGCCACGATGACATCGACGCGTTCTTCAACCTATCGCCATTGCCAACTATGAGCAACACCACCCAGTCGACGCTTAATCAGCGCAACAACAACATCAATACGGTGGGCAGCAGTAGTGGACAACAGCAACAGCAGGCGACGCTAAATCAGAATTTCATTAGCGGTGCCAATCCACCGCAAACCTCGAATGACGACTCGCTGCTCACCTACATGCAAATGGCCACCGATGCCAGCCCGACACTCAACTTCCCGATGAGCATCAGTGACGATAGGTCTGATTCGGCGCATGGCGATCGCATCGACAACAAACTCATGGGCAGCAATCAGCCACTGCAATCAGCGCAACATCAAATGCTGGCAACACACCAACAACAGCACCAGCAGCAGCAGCGTACCAACAATTTCTTTCCCAGTAATCCATTCGAAGCGCTCGGCAATCAAGTGACCACAAATCAATTACCAAACGATCTGGAAATATTGCCTTACCAGATGTCACAGGAACAGTCGCAGAACCTCTTCAACTCGCCGCAGTCCTCGAGAAATAGTCAATAACCTTAAGCTTTAGTTTTAGTTAGATTATTTGTAGTTGCCTAGAAATATTTAGTTGGGTGCGAATGTGCGAGTGTGCCTGCTTTGTAAATAGGGATGTGAGCAATTTTAGTAAGGTAAAGTTTAAATGAGCAGTATTGTGGATTTCCTGCGGTAAAACGGGTCACCTCCTCCAGTACTTTGTAGTTGGACCCGTTTCAATGCCCATAAATGGTGCAATTTATGAAGTTTTTCCCTACAGCAGCCGGGTCCATTATTTCAAAGGTAGCTACAAACAGTTAATGCCATGGACCCAGGTTTTATTGCAGGTTGCACTGGGTAATGCCAAGCAATGGAAGATATCTTTACTAAAATTACTAAATTACTTAAGGATTTGTTGTCGTCTAGGAATTAACGAATGTTTTTTCATGATATTTCAGTTTAAATGATTCTTGCCTATAGATTTTATTTCAAGAATCTTTGTAGTTAGGAGAATCGCATTTATGTATGTAGATAATTTTCAAAGGGGCAATTTTAACCTCATTTAGATGGCGGCTACGTAGATCGATTGCCTTCAAATTCGACTGATTTTGAGTGTTGGCAGGACGACAACGCAAAAGTAAGTGAGCTTTTTAAGCGATTTTCATATCTGAGGCATCGTGCACAATCTTGAAAATGTATTAACTAAAAAAATTTTACTAGCTACAGACACGTAAACGTAGTAAATGATCTTGAAGAGTGCAAATATGTACATATACTTTGAAATTCTATAAAGATAGTTTTTCGAGAGAAAAGTGAAGCTTATACCGAATTTCCACTAGGCATTGAAATGACGCAAAATGTATGCCATTTAAAAAAATGCCATGTGGAAATGAACTTAATGACCATTCTTTTAATGTAATGACACAGTTTTCTTTTAATGCCCGACTTTGCATTTGTCATTTTTTTTCTTTTCATTTAGTGCCTAGTGAAAATCCAGCATTATAACTTATTATCTTGGAAATAGATTCCCGACCCGGCGTCGGTTACAGTGGCATACCCTACTATCGCCCTCAGTACCAAAAAGGGTAAGGAAAATTCCTTGTTAGTGACGGAGTGGCTTGTTTTGGCATACAGATATTGCAGAGCCATCTAAGATATTCCCACCTTCCTGTGTGCGACTCAACCAGCCTCTAAAAACAATTTTCCGCACGAAGGAGCTCAACACCTTGTTTAAGATAGATAAAATACCATTTGGACTCGGCGATTTAAAGCTGCCAAAGGAACGAAAAGTAGATACTTCTTATGGAATTTTAGTTCTACTTAGCACAAATCAGTTGTCCGATCACACGACTGGACAACTAATTTCCATGGAACAAGGAAATTCTGTGGGGCCAATACATACATATGAGATTACATATAGCTTCTGGTGATTTTTTGAAAAGAGTGCAATTTAAGTTGACACATTTGAAGAAAATGTACTATTGGAGCTTTCAAATTGCATTGCTATAAACTGGTATTTTTATTAATTTGGAAAACACATGCACCCGCCTTCTTTGAAAAGTCAAAATCGCTCGAATGAGAAAAAGAAAACGTAAAGTGGTTGATCTTGTAGCTTATCAGTTGTGAGTTTACTATATGTGTTTTATAAATTATGGGAAAAAGTGTTTAAGTAGCTCCTGAATAAACGATAAGAAGACAGTAAGGCAGGGCGCACATTAGAGCGATACGATACGCGATACGATAAGCGATGCTGAGTACGCGGGAATTTGGTAAGAAGCGATGAAAACGATGCTCACTTGCTCGACAGCGACATTGCTCCGACATATGTACATATATCGCATGCGATACGAATGTGCACTGCGCGCATATCGATGTCGCTTTCATATCGTATCACTTATTGTATCGGCAATCGTATCGCTCTAATGTGCACCGTGCCTAAGAGTTTATTTAGTAAAGAAAGCCACTCCATATTTTTTTCAGTGCAGGATCCCTTAAAATTATGCATAGTATGTAAGACTTATATTTTCAAAAATAAAACTATTTTTGCAAGATTTTCCTTATGGAGTTAAGCACTTTTTACACTCTTCAATACAAATGTATGTACATACATACATATTTACATAATATTTTGTTCCAATGGAACTTATACATATTTAGAGTTGAGCAGTTATGTGATTATTTGAAGCATGTGATTGAATTGTGTTAAGTTTTATATTTTAGATTTTTTAATTCTTTATTGGCAAAGTACAAAATTTAGATAATGGAAGCTTATCTGGTCACTATAAATTTTCTTAGCACATCTTTAGCTGATAATAAAAAATAATTATTTATTTCAATTGTGTTATTGAGCTTTGTACCACGACTCAGACTCTCCACGCTGTCAAGCTTAAATAGCGGCTGATCAGCTGCACTTGATAGTAGTAGGTTGAATAAGGAAAGGCTCAGTGGTTAGCGCTTCTGACTTTGCACATCGATGATGCGGGTTCGATGCCTGCTGAAAGTCTAGAAAAAAGAGGTCTGACGAGGAGATGTGGCGATTTCCGAAATAGCTTGTATAAATTCTACCGCTTAAGCTTTGTTGTTTTTTTTTTCATTTTTCCTGACAAACAAATTGTGGTACAAAGCTCAATAACACTATTGAAATAAATATTGATACGCCACAATATAAATTGAAAAAAAAATATAATTATTTTAATAGGATAAGATTCAAAAACGCCAATAATGCAAAAATATCTTAAACATTCCAAATAATTAAACTAAACATTTTCTTAATTTTAGTCTTAGCGTAAATTCGAGACACTTTAATTTTTTATATTTATTAAAACAAAAATCTTAATGCAGAGTTTTTCAATTGAACAGCTTTTTTCAAACTTAGATTGTGATATAATTTAAGGAATAGTTATCGCTTTTGTACAAGGATGTGTGCAAGTTTTTAATCAAATTGAATTTTTAGCAGCAAATATTAATAGAATAATACATATATGTACGTGTAGATACATATTTAGAATAGAAAAAATGCTGAATCTCCTCAGGTTTTCAACAACGTATTGATTAATCGAACAGGGAAGTAAGTAAACTGCAAACACTCTCACCCACTAGGATTGTTCTTTACCGAAAAAATATACCCCTATTTTTAACCGACTTCCAAACAAGGAGGAGGCTATCAGTTCGTCGGGATATATTTTTTTTTTTGTCATGTATGTTACCGCATAACTTTGGGCCACGTCAACCGATTTCGATAATTATTTTTACAGCGGAAAGGTAGTGTCTCAGAGGTGCGTACTAATTTGGTTTAGATCCGATCATTGGATTATGAAATATATATATATATATATATTTAAGTCGGGTTTTTTTTGCTAAAAATGACTTGTTTTTATCTTGGAAACAAAAAATATTTAAAGGTCGCTCAAAGCGCCCAAAGATTTCCGTGTATATGGGAAAAAAACAATTTTTCGTAGAAATGGTATAGAATAGTTAAAAATAAATATTTTTCCACCAGAAAACTCTGTTTATCTGCATTAGATTAACAATAATAATACTTAATCGTTTATTTAGCCATTTTTTCATTGCAACTAAAATTTATAGGTCCTTAAAAAGCCCGCAAAAACCCCGAAAAATGCAATGGGCGACCAATAAAAAATTGTTAGTATTAAAAAATTGTCAAGTAAACAATTGGGTATTATTATTGAAAGTCTTTTGAAGATAACCAGAGTTTTCCGATCGAAAAATTTTGACTTTCAAGAATTCTATAACATATAAATTTTTTTTTTCGTAGAAAATTTTATTTTTGCCATACAAAAATACATGGAAAACTTTGAGCGCTTTGAGCGACCCCTAAATATTTTTTGATTTCAAAATAAAAAAATAGGGGTATACCTTTTCGATATAGAACAATCCTAGGGGGTGGGAGAATTACAATTCCGATTTTACTGTTTTTGGACCACCCCAATGTTCATATTGTTACCTTGATATAGCAAGGTCTTAACTCATTCAAAGAAGCGGAATTGTTATACATGGCCTTTCTACATAAAGATAACGATATGCTAATATTATACAAAAAATACGTTGACATTTTAATTCAAGCAAAATAAAATTGTTACTAATTGATTTAGTTAAGTCTGGATTCTCACAGTCAAGTTCAAAGAATATACTTATTTTTTAAATTTTATCTAAGAAACCATACTTGTTAAAATGCCAGAAACTATCTCAGTTTTTGTGTAAACACTCAGTGCCGTTTTCACAGCACCAAGTTGGCTTTCAATCGGTAGTTAACTTAGAAATTTTGTACTGAAAATGTGCAGTTAATTACCGAACAGAGTCCGACCGATTCCCAATTTTTTGCCGATGCTGATGCCGGTCAATCGGCCTTAGGGCAAAGTATCGGCCGATGTCGATACCGATTCGTTAAAAAAAAAAACTAACAGAATATAAATTCAATCAAGACAAGGGGACGACCTGCACCCTTCTGTTTAATGGATGAAATCTAAATACTTTGTATGAAATTTAACGTGTTAGGAAATATTTCGCGAGTGGGTTTGGCTGCAAAAATCCTGGCCAGCATATATATAATTTTATAATTTTAATTATGGCAATTATAATTTTTTTTCTATTTTGCACTTATTTGTTTAATGAACCAATTACATACATATATCGCAATCGAAAGCATAAATCCTATAGGAGTGCATATTACTAGTATTGCCTACCTGTTCATACCTGTCAACCCGTTGGGTAGTTCAGGAAAAAAATAGACAACCCCACGTTTTCACTTTCTATAGGCTTAATACTATTGATTTTTGGAAATTTTTTTGTGGAAGGTGTTGCAGATTTTCTCCATACAAAAAAATTTTCGAGCATACTTTCTTTGGAAGAAAATGCGTGAACAAAAAATTGTCAAAAATCAACACTTAAGGCGGGTTCACCCCGTTCGTGTCCGGACAACTTTTTATTTGCTCTGAAAACATTTTCTAAAAAATCTGATTAAACAGTTTCAGATTTTTATGAACAGTTGTTAAAATTGTGCAAAAATTAAAAAGAATCGGCCAAAAACGGCCGATGCCGATGCCGAAGCCGCTGAATCGGTCGGACTCTATTACCGAATATGCATTAATTTGACACTATCTATGAAGACGACACTGTAAAACTCCACGAACTTTTCTTAGTTTGGATTGGTTGAGAGTTGTCTGTGTGTATAAAGAAACACCGTGTAAATATTGTTATATTTTCGATATATTTAAGTGTATGTAATAATTTGTAATATGTACTTTATGTAGTTTGTAGATAAACTAGCGTTTAGTAAATTTTTATATAACTAGCTAAAGGAAAAATAAATAAAAAATGAATTTAAATCAGTTTTGCTTAGGAGACCTTTTTTCCGCCCTCAGACATACATACTTACATACGTACAAGTTGGAAGGTAAAGTATCTATATCTTAATAAAATTCTTTGGGAAGGACTTCTTAGAGAAAGATGATTTGAGTACACATTTGTACATACAGAAGCTAATAACATCGAAACCCGTATTTTCTTATTTTGAAATCGACGATTAATATTTAACCGTGGCGCTTTGAAATTTTCCATACATTGGGAAGATATATATAGACTTGCTATAAAATTGTCAAAACCAAATATTTTTTGATAGAGTAAAATATATCCCATCAGAAATCTTCGAAAAATAAAATTATGGCCCATATATATTTAAATTTTGACTAACCCCTTTTCAGAACTGCCCCGATGAGGCTACGAAAACATAAAATAACAAAATTTTTTATATGAGAGATATCGGTTTTTCAAACCATTTTTTTTGCTGTAGACATCTTGCTTTTTTGAGAGTTTTTTGTTACTATTTGTCAGTGAGTAAGAGACAACGCTTCTGATAAATAATTTGTCTTTGTTTTTCTTACATAATTCATGTATTTATTGTGGTATTTTTTTGATTTTTTGGTTAAAAAAACATAAACAATTTTATTTATTTCATCAATGTTCAGTTTTACATGGAATAATAAGTGTTGAAGTGAAGAAATTATTTTTTATTTATTTTTTTTTGCTTAATATTGCCTCACTGGATTTTTGTATGCGGTTTTTCAGAATTTTTTACATGGAGTATCTGAATTTATGCGGTTTTTGAAAATGTAAAGAACTTTTTTATGTAAGTGTATGTATGTATGTGGAAAACTGCAAAGCCTCGGCGGCACGCGTAAAAATTAACTCCATAATAATGTACAGGAGCGACGCATTCAGGATATCTTCGATAAATCAGTAAATACCGAAGCTAATTTATTCAAAATTTATGTTTGCAATAATTCTTTAGCACAAAATACGTTTATGATAAAATTATGGAAAATGGGCGTGTGGCACCACTTTTTATATAACGGTAAATTTCAGAAATGTTCGAAACTTCGACATTTCGAAATTTGAGGACGCTAATTTACACAAAATTAATACTAAAAACAATCCCTGGAAAAGAAGTAGCATTATTATGGAATTTTGGAAAATGGGCGTAATAACGCCCACATATAACTACATCTATAAGTTAATCGAAGATGTTTAAAATAGGGATAAAACCACCCCTGCTTACCACGTAGCGGTCGTTGTCGGAAAGGCGAAAAAAACTATATTTCATACTTGCGCCGTGTATCTAATGTTCGGCTCCGCTCGAACTTAGACCTTTTTACTTGTTGTTTTGTGCGCTTTGAAAGAGGACTGTTTGAATATTTATTACCGACTTCAAAAAAGTAGGAGATTATCAATTTGTCCGAATTTAATTTATTTTTTTTTATGTATCTTACCGTATAACACTAGGCCACGTCAGCCGTTTTCGATAATTCTTTTTTTTCGGAAAGGGCCACCTCAAGGTTGGTCCCATATAAATTTGTTTTAGTTCCAATCATTGCATCACGAAGAAACTAACGGGACTGCCAATCTTTATATGAGCATTGAAGTCTGCTGCTTTTTGTATAAACAGGATTATTTTTTTCTTGCAAAAATTTCATTTACATTTGACTACGAATTCCAAACAAAGTCAAAGCTTAAGGTCCTTCAAAAACGATGTCAAGCAAAAATCTTCAACGTCTAAATATACATATATCGCTTTGAGTCCATTTTTACAAATTTTATAGCAGAGGAAAACAATTTCTTATAGCCATTTTTTTTCAAACGCTCTGGTGAAAAGCTCGACGCCCGGCTAGTTGTTTTCCTACTTTTTTCTTCATCTTTAAAAATATAAAAATAAAAAAAACCGAATGCTGAAAAGCTGATTTGATAGACAAATCTCCTCGTCGTAGTTTCAGAGTCCTCGCAAGATCATTTGAAGGACTATAAACCTAGGCCACTAATAGTTTTTACTCAACTTTGTGGCGATAAGATTTAGAGTAGCAGCACGGTGGCTTTACCATAAAATAATTAAAACAAATAATTAAAAAAAGTTTTGTTTTTTAAAAATGTTCCAGAAACTTTATTTCGTATGTACATAAAAAAATAATGCGGCGCATCTTTTTTGCGAGATATGAATTAAATTCCGCTAGATCGACCATTTCGACCACTGTGCATTGCTTCCTTCCTACCTGTCTAAACGATCCTTAAAACGTAAAATGTTGACTCAGGTAACGTATCCTGATGCAGGGGATCTCTTCTTTAGATTGAGTGGCGATGTATTTTTTATATTAAATACAGCTTTAGCTTTATTTTTCACCGCAAACAGTTTCTCAGGGAGAATTTTTCCTACCCACGAGAAATTGTTGAGATTTTGAGATTTTGGAAAGTTATTTTTCGCACAAAACTCGAAATATTAAAAGTGCCTATAATACTCTAAATGAGTTACCGAACACCTTAAAATAGTCTGCATATCATAATCTCGAAAAAAATCACTTGCGTCACCAGCTTTCGGAAGAAATCACTCGTAGAAAAAATAGCGATTATTTAATTGTTTTAAATCTATTTTTAATTTAATTTTACATTAGTTCATTATAAAAATTAATAAACAGCGTATATGTACATATGTATATACAAATAATGTATGTAAGTCTATTGGTAAGCATGTAAGTATGTATCTAATAAATGCATATAATTTCCTTCAAAGGAAAATTCAATTTCTCTTTTTATAATTTAGAGTTATATGTAAATAGTTTCATACTTTCAACTTCTCGACCGCATTCTGAAGTATCTGAAACTCTGAGTTGATGTCGTCCATCAAATTGCGTATCTGTTTCTTGGAATCCAACACTTCGATACTCTGGGTGTAAGGATTGTAGCGTACACCGAACGGACGTGGAATAGAATTGGCAAATTTGCTAAAATTACAAAAATAAAGATTTATTGGCATTCAATTTATATTTAAGTTGCTCAAGCCCTACATGGTCTTCTCCTTAGCGCTCTCGAAACTCTCCGAAACATAGTAGACCTCCTGGAATTGTGTGATTGGATATTTTGTAACGCCAGTGACCTCTGGATCGAAGTCCCTCAATTCTGGTTTATCGGAAAGGCAGTATTCCAGTTCTCCGTATGAAGATAGTAGCCCAGCACCGTAGGCTTTTAAATCGCCATCTTGGCGGCACATGCCATATTCCACGGTGAACCAAAAGATCTAATAATTATACAAAAATGTAAGTGTTTTATGCCAAACTATCGCGTGAGCCCTTACCGTCGCAAGCTTCTCGATATAGTCATCGGGTGCTCCCAGCGAGGCTAAACCGATTTCTTGACTGAATTGCGCGAATGCTGGATCCGCAAATAGCGGCACATGACCCAAAAGCTCGTGGCACACATCGGGCTCGGGTGTGTACATCGGTTTGCTGGGATGGCGGATGTATTGAGTGGAGTGAAAGACGCGGAAAGCGAGACCAGCAAGAAAATCCCGGGAAGAAAGTAAGCCAGCAACAGGACGCAAAGTGAAACCGGTACAATCTGTTCGAAATAAAATACACATACAATATCTGTGAGTTGGGTATCAAAACATCTTCAAATTTTCATTAAATTGGCTTAGAGTGAAGTGAGCAAAACTAGCCAGCTAGCGTCTACCAACTTACCCCTCAAAAAGTTCGAAACATCTTCCAATTGTGGTATGTTGTCCTCTCTAAAACCACAGTTATCCACCAACAAAGGAAAGACGTGGTTATATTCGCGACACGCATGTGTCTTATACAGTTTCGTAAGATTCCTGAAAATTATTCCCCAGGTATCAATCTCTTCCTTGGTGTAGTCGACGCATGGCAATGGCTCGCCATGTTTGTAGTTGTACGCAATGTCTGCGAAGTACTTTCTGAGTTTCCCAAAAAAAAAGTTAGAATTTCTTTGAGAATCAAGCTGAACTGCTTACCTCCTTGCGCGGTAGACGGGATCAGTAAATCCAGGATGATCGGCGTCCAACTCCGAACCATAACTCAGAATTTGATTGGCGAAACGATCGAGATCGCGTATTCTGCGCGGAAACCATGGCACCGCCGAGTTGTTGTCCTTGTAATCGCGCGAAATGATATTGAAGTAACTGCACTCTTGACGCAATTCGTCGATGGCCTTGCCGAGTGCCCCCGATGTGGTGTCGCATTCCACGAAGAACTCGTAGCCAGGCACACGCACCGATGAACGAGATTCGATGTGCAGCAAATTGACATTGTGCGCCGTGAAGATTTTCAAACTCTTGGCAAGCGAGCCGCTACTCTGGTCTTTTAGCGAATAAAGTAGACAAGTATTGCCAGCCTCTTTCTTGTCAATGCCCTCGGCAATGTATGAAGAGCCGTCGACTCGCGTCGGCTAAAGGAAATAACAGAACAACAAAACAAATGGGATGAGATTCTGGTAAGGGTTCATGAGCTGCTCCGATATACATATGTACATACGTCTGCCTGCTGATTATATGACTTAATTGATTTCAATTAAATGCGCATTAAAATGTGATTTCTATAATCACAAATTATGCATATAAATATTAATCACATTTTAGGACGTCAATAAAAAAATTTGAAAAACCTACGTTACACATTCAACATTGATGTGGGATACCTGTGGTTGCTGTTATTGTTTCGCGAATCTTTCTTATCAACTCGGCCTCAGAAAGGTTAAACACTAGTTTGCCAAATGAATCAAAAAAAAATAACAATCTTATCACGTCGCTCTGGAAATTGTACTGAATAAGTATTGATTGTGAGGGGGCTCAGTAAATCTATATATCGTCGTTTAAAGTATAAAACCGCGTATCAAGATAATGCAAAACCTCGTATGTGCAAAAACTCTCCTATTTCAATATGGTTCTCTCTTTTAGGATAAGGATTGAGCCAAGAGCTTGTGTGAGCAAATCCAATTTTTGGCAGCAAATGTCAGTTAAGCGGTTTTGCAAAATGACGATACGCGGTTTTGTACTTTAAACGACGATATGTATGTATGTATGTACATAAATAATAGGGAGAGAGATGGATGACACTCAGAAAATGATTCAAGGCACGTGATTCGCAAAAGTTGGCGTATAAATAATAAAGGCTACGGAAACACGCTAACAACTGACTAAATTTTGCTGAAATCATAAATTTGTTTATTTCATATGCATGCGGCCACAATCTATTGTTGATCAAGTCGTTATTATATACACACTTATTTTTGGCACATCCTGTTTTGGCATAGCCTAAAAAAAAACGCTGTACTGATCGCATTCATGGTTCTGAAGAAATTAAAAGCTATTTTTCTTTTGATAAAAATTAACGCTTTGCTTCATCTAATCTGGTTCTATGGTCATGAAGGCAACTAGAAAGTTATGTCGCCTGATCTCATTTAAATGAGGAGTGAAAGAAGCGGTGCAAGTCCCAAGTAGGTGTCCCTACCTTATCTTGTTTTTTCACACATTTATTTTACTAAATTGAATTATTCCTACAGTATCACATAAAATCAGAAGGATGCACCTCTCTAAAGACCTCAAGTAAGTTTTTAGAAACTAGCAAAATGGATGAAGGAAACCATTTCCAAACTCATTGTAACATGTTCTGTGCCCGTCTGGTAGAGGAAGACAGAAGTAAAGTCCCCGCAGGCCAACCTCGGCAATAATCACGGCTCTCGAGTTGATTTATGGCCTTTTTTTATTAGCAAATCTATACCGCATTCCAGTATTTCCTGATTTATCGCAATTTTCGTGTTTCTGTAAATTACCGTTATATGGCAGGTGGGCGCGGTTATTACCAGATTTCAAAGATTTTCAACAGATTTCTTAGCTAGACCCTACCCAAGCCTCGTACCGAGTTTGGTAGAGATTGGTCAAGCGGCTACTGCGATACAGCACTTCATCATAAGTGGGCGGTGCCACGCCCATTTTCCTAAAATTTCATAATAATATCATTTTTTACCACAATTTTACTCCACATACTTCAATTTCAATTTTCAACAATTTGCATCTAATATTTACTGAAATATCGTATTTTTTGCATTTTTCGAAAATACCGTTATATGGGAAATGGGCGTCGTTACAGTACGATTTCGTGGATAAAGAGCAACCTACATACCAAATTTCGTTGAGATATCTCAATTTTTGCTCGAGTTATCGTGTACACGGACAGACAGACGGACGGACAGACGGACAGACAGACATGGCTTAATGGACTTCTCTTTTCATTCTGATCATTTGTGTATACATTTGTCCATATCTATCTCGATTCGTTTTGCCACTTACAAACAACCGTTATGCGAACAAAGTTAATATACCCTTGTGCACAAGTGCGCTCGGGTATAAAAACGAAATCATGCATACATGCACAGTTTCGACTCAAAACCCGAAATAAAGCATACATGCACATTTTCGGTTAAAACCGAAATAAAATCTAAATGCACAGCTGCCATATGCGCATATGCGGTGCTCCTTCTCGCACTGAAAGTACACTTAATCACTTCAAAGATGTTATGGGATTCCACTTTTAATACTCATTGTATATCAGGGACCGAGGCTATCATGTCACGGCATCTCGCTAGACAATTGTCAAGAGTAACATACAGGCTAAGTTTTTCATCGCGGAAATATAAACAAGAAGTTTGTTCAATGAATTTTTCCCTACTTGACCTACAAATGACCACGAACCTGATGTGATGGGGCCTAACAGACCTCGGATTTGCATTCAGCCCATCGAATAACATAGGGATAAAGAGGTTTGATTGAATATGTAGAAACTTTTTTTTTTACCTATGTAGTTAGAAGAACTTTTTCGGAATTTTCAGGGAAATTAAGAACTTGTCAAACATGTTTACTCTCCCAATTCACTCCCTCCAATGCCAGTGCGAAGTCCTTACTTCGCTTTCCAGGGTCACCGTGCATAAATTAAATAATTTCTGTAACCAAATGGAGTTATGGCAAATATATCTTCTTTCTTGCATCCGGTAAATAGGTGACTTGCTTCTTCCCATCCCAAACGACACCCAAGGGAGCTTCTAACCCGCAACGGCTATAATAAGTCCTATCCACCAGGGACCGTAAATAGTAGTTATTTTATTTCCCACAGTTAAACTTGGCCAGGTATTTTTTAAATAAGTTCGAAATAAAAACCTTCCGTATAGTAAACAAACCGCTTACCCAAATTAAACAAATTTGGTACCAAATGAAAGAGAAATAACGATCGAACGCTACCACTTCTATTTATATTTTTTTATAATTTAATACAAAAGATATGCATATACCTGACCCAAGGTTTGTTCTATGGTAATTAAAAAACATTTTTTATTTAAATATTTGACAATAGCTGGCATTCTGCTGGCTTTCCTCGTTTAAATATTTCAGTTGTAAAGCTATTTTAGTCCTCTTTCAGTTGATACCAAACTTGTTTAATTTGGATCCAACTTTTGTAATATGCTTCTGTGGTGGGAAAGCGATTAAAAAACAAAAAACATTCTTATATTCTGGGAGTGCATATATTAACTACGAAAACAGAATGCTATTTCTGCAAAAAATTTATGAAAACAAAACACATTCAATTCGGTTGCGAAATAGACCAAACTACAATTTTTTGCACAAAATCTTATTTAAATTTCGCTATTTTCTTTTTTTTTGCAATCCATGTGATACGATCTGGTACTTTTCCAATGAACCACACCAACCTTTTCAGAAGTTTGACGTTCGTACAGCATTTTTGTTGTTGTTTTGCTGCTGCAGTCAAAACTAGTTTTACGACCCGATGACTGGTAGACACACCTTTTGCAGCCGTGTTATTTTATATTTTTATTTTTTATTTGTTCAATTCACTAACTGCTGCCTCTTTTACTTTCAAAAGCTATACTTTTCCACACTTTGAACTACTCAAGTTTAAGTATTTAATCTATAAATCCAGTTGAGCTTAAAACGCAACTTTTATCTAAGCGCCCGCGCCCGTTACTAATAGTCTTTATTCGAAAACTAAAGTGTTACTCAAAGTTCGCACGCGTTTAAATAGATTTTGGTATCAAATCGAAGTCGGCTAGCGGCTGCAGCCAAGAGCTGGTTATCTATTAGATGACGGTGGACGGCGCTGCAAAGGTTATCGCAAGCTTCAACCAACTACATACTTATCTACACACACATACCTACATACATACATATATATTTACACTGTTTGTTGCTTCCCTGCAAAAAATGCTTTTATTTCGGTATGACTCCGGGATCGATCGCCAAGGAATATGCCACTAATACCACGTTTGATCTCTTTATATAACGAATAAATTTTCGCTTTTGTTCGAGCATGCCCTATGAAGAGACTCCATTATACCCGAACGAGCATGAAAATGGCGTAGTCGCTCTTAAAAACAAAACTACGCCAGCTGAGGCTCTAATCGGGAATCTAAGGTTTGCTTAGCGAATACTCTGTCTACATGCCAATGTTGCATATGAAATTTCGTTGCTTAGGGGCATACATATAATTATTTAAATCTTCAATTGTAATCAATCAATTGATCTCCAATTATACGGGTGTGAGATTAGTTGCGATTAATTAATGCCCAATTGTACCTCACGTAGACTAATCCTGGAATACTCTTTTTATAGATTAGTCGCGCAAATTTTTCAGGGTTATGGCAGCTCTCAAAACTATGTAAGTGTGCGTCTGCGTAGCGAGTCGACAACCAATCTAAAAGTTGTGGGTTCGCTGCTTAAATAGCTGGACACGAGGAGACTGCAAATAATCTAATTTAGAACTGACCAACAAGTAGCCTTACTTGGTTGCGGGAGAGAAAAAATTAATATGTCCATAAATAAATATGTAGTGGAGAACCTCGGCCTAAAGCTCTAAACGCGGCTTTCGTCTTCTTGTTATCATTATTAGCTACATATATAATACGTGTGTTTTGTCTTTAGAAATGCGTGTTGAATTAAACAAATTGTGTGTTCTTATAATCACAAAAGAATACTTAGCAGAAAATATTTACTTATTATTATTTTTATATTTAAATATTTTACTTACGGTTTTATAATGTAACTTGTATCGCCAATTTGAAACAAACATGAATATTTTTTTTTTGCACGCGTGACGCACAAGCGGGTCTAGCCTTCAGTAAGTTAAAGGCGAGAGTTTCAGTAGAGTACTTAAGTTTACATATTTGTAGAAGTTGTTTTTCATGGCACTCGGAGGTTTGCCATTGCCTGCCGTGGGACGACCGCTATTAGAAGAAAACTCTTTTGTTTTACAAATAGGTACATATATAAATATATTAATTTCAAATTTCTTATCTGGGAAGCAGCTTAAAAATATTGTGATTGCAATAAAGGCCTAACAATTTGTAAATACAACAAAACTTCAGCAAACAACTGATGCAATTTCTTGCCGCTATTACAAGCTACTGTAAAAACCATTAAATTATAGAAAGGCCCTTACCTAACAAGAGTTCGAAGCACTTAATCAATTCAAAGCTCGAAAAAAAGTTAATCACGAATTACATCAAAGTAGTTTTCTTACTTCTTGTTTACGTTGCCTGCTGCACGTATCACACTGAAAATCTTCACATTTTGATGTCGATTTTCATTTGTTTTCCATTTTTTGAAATGGTATTTGTGAATGAACTTTTCTTTGAACACATAAACTAGTTCAGTCACCCCAAAATATATTAAGTATGTATGTGCCCGGATGGATGTATGTATAGTTCATAAGTACATATTAGTACTCATATAAGGTTATATTTGTTTACAAACAATCAAAAAATCCAGCTCACATACATATGTATGTATGCGTATAGTATTCGGAATACACACTTAGTTATTATGTTTTTTCCCTTTAATGTTCATTATAAAATTTATGATGCAATTTTTCGAAATGTTTTCGTATACTTATTAAAGGTGCTCTTACACGCTATGTATTTGCATGTGTACATGCCACTTTTTACATATGGAAATGCCAACATATCGTGTAAAGGCAAATTAGATTTGTTTCTGTACAAAGCAGATGCACGTACACACGAAACAGTAAATGTTTCTATTTTTTTCATCTGACACACAGATAGAATCATCTGAGTTTAGTTTATTTCGTTTTCAAAGCATGTATTTTTAAATAGTTAAATAAAGACTGTAAATTTGACAGACATACGCAATTACATGCGTATTGAAAAAGTCGCATTTACAGATGCCAAAAACGTCTCGTTTAAGAACACCTTTAGTAAGTGAATATGTACATACATACATATATGCAAATATATCTATATGTATGTATGTATGTTTGTATGTTGATATTCAAATATATACAAATGTGTAATAAACTAATTTTGAGTCGCAGAAGTATTGTTTAAATTTCCCCCAAAAGTATGTGCCAATAATAGTTTTATGTACTACTATCCCCCATGGCCGCTTGCTTCGCGACGCCTCATAAGAACTGATGTGTTTGCCAATGCAAAAATAACGCCGAAAAGCAAAAATTTTTAGTTTAGGTTGCAACAGCTAAGGATCAGAATCCTGCACAAACACATAGGCTAAGCATACTAGTGCTCTGAATATATTCCCTTCGATGTCCTGAGTTTTATCGATGGCATTATTTCCACCTGTGAGATCTCTTCTAAGCGTGCTTAATCGCCCTCTATGATCCTGCAACTACAACATTGGCCCGATGAGTCAACCTCTAGTATTGTGTCAAGTAAGCGAACAAGAAACGTTACAAGGAAACTGAAGAGTACAGATGTGCGTTTTTTGTTATAGGAGAGGAGAACCAATATCTTAAATATTGTTCAAGGATGCGGTCGAATCTTTCCCTACTGATTCTCCACTTTTACAATTCGTCTTATATCCAGGCGTCCAAGGACACATATTAATTTGACTCTATAAACCTGAGCTTGATCTATGAGAGGTGTATGGCATTCGGTAAGGGAATTCGCCTTGCATTTGTGAGAGTGTAAAGCTTTGAGGCCCACCTGACCACCGCAGAAAAAAAACTGGTTTGTTCTCTCTAGTTCTCTGATCAAAATTTCGTGCTGCCCCCTAAATGGTTAACAATTCTTCTTGATACATCCGTGACACGGTTATGTCCCTAGAACATCTGAATGACCAGAGATTCTTTTACTCCATTTGAGTCTCACTGCTGCAATAACGGCCGCCCTGAGCAATATCATGCGGAGATAGATGCAAGCTCGCATTTAGGGTTATGGGGGCGTGATACAAAGGTGCGCTTACCTTACACAATTTTGCGCCCTTTGTATGCATCCTTAACCACACATACGGGGGTAATAAATATTTCGACTGCAGCGCGTTTTTTATTGTAGTTTTTTGTAGTAGTAAAAAACCGGTTCCTGATTTGAAGTTTTCGAAAAAAAACGGTGTTATTTTGCTTAGATTTCATACAGTAAAGATAGCTCTTATTTAGAAAAGAGCAAAACGGGAATAAGTACAAAGTTTTTTAGATCAAAAGTAAAACAAATAAAAATCAGTGAAAAATTCACGCTTGGTTTTAGTTTAACATTTTTAACCGACTTACAAAAAAAGAGGAGGTTATCAGTTCGTCGGAATATTTTTTTGTATGTATGTTACCGCATAACTTTGGACCACGTCAACCGATTTCGATATTTCTTTTTGCATCGGAAAGGTAGTATCTCAGAGGTGGCCCCATACTAATCTATGTATACATATATTTATATTTTTATATGAGAATTAAAGTAGGTTTTTTTGCTTAAAATTACTTATTGAATAGTAGTGCCCTTGCCGCCGCAGCCAGTGGTTAGAGGTGCCTACTGCCAATTCCGAGGTCCATGGTTCAATTTTTGGTTCCAGCAACATCACACGTTTTTTTTTTTTTTTTTAATAGCGGTCTCCCCTCGGCAGACAATGGCCAACAGGACGAAGGTGGGGTAAAGGTGTATATCTCTCCATTTGTATCACAACATTAAGAAGCAGAACACGAATTTGGGAGGAAGCTCGACCAAACTCGTAGAAAACGTTTAAGCGCCAAACGTTCATTTATTGATATCAAATATGATAATAGGAAATCTCTTCATCCCCAAATAACCTAGGATATAATTTTAAAACTATTAAGGGATTTCCCTTAAACTGAAAGAAGCCTTGAAAACTTCGCTAAACTCAAAATCATTTATTAAGAGAACAAGATTTGTATGAAAGGAAAAAAACTGCTTTGTTTGATAAAAAAAATCCGGTTTATTCGATCATCGAGATTTGAAAAAACCGCCTATAGATATCAAAAAAAAAACCCCGAGTCAATCACCCTATTAGGTACCCATCGAGCTGCTTTATCTAAATAAAAGGAGGCTGGCTTGCCTAAGGCCACCCACCACTTACTAATTATAAGTTTTGAAGAAAACAAACTAAATCCAGTCTCACGAGGACAAATTATAGATAGGCCTTCTCTCGTTCGCTTCGATGCCGCACTGGCCTAGTACCCAACACAGGTTTTCGATATTTATGCTAGCGCACTTATTGAGATCGATAATACACCGACCATGGCCTGAAGAACTGCGGATTTATGAATCTAAAATTAATGATTATCAGACCCGTCAACTAGACTGACTCATTTCGGACTCTTTTGATGTTATTAATTCTGAGTTGAACCAAAGTAACAATTATACGTAGAAATAATAGTTTATACCTAATCAGAATAATAAAGAATATTTATTTTTAAGACTAAGAAAAGCGTCATGTATTTCAGACTCTTATATGACTCCTAATTTGGACTCGTATTGTCGTGCCTTTCTAAGAAGCTAAACATGCTCTTTTCTGACTCTTTTTTGAGCTCATAATGAGGTTTAGAGCTCAGTATTCTAAGACTTTGCCGACTCTAAAATGAGTCCGAATATTTACAGCCACTCATAGAGTTGACGAAAAGTGAAAAGTTAGAGGGCGCCATAGAGCTTCTGAGTGATGTGGTTGGTTGTTGGCTACCTTGCTTAAGCATTGGTCCTCTCTCTAAAACCTCCCATATTATCAGCGATACAGTGATGTCTGCCAACCACTTGGACTTGGCGATGAATCTATTTGTTGTAAGTGTTCTGTATTGGAATTTAGCTCAATAACTCCGCTCAGTGCTTAGTTATCCCGCACTTGTTCCTTATAATTTCCAAGCTATCTGTACACTCAAGGGTATGGTATCAAGAGAGAAAGACACAACTATCAGTTAACTTTTCCCCTCGCCAATTTCAGTTATGGCTTTATTAAGATCAGAGATCCAAAAAAATATATTTCAAACAATTTTATTTCACTTTATTGCGTACACACTTTTTTATTATTCAAAATACAAATATTAAATTAAAATACAAAAGCTTCTCAAATGCAAGTAGCTATCCATTTTTGGCTTTAAAGTAATTATATTATGCTATTAAAAGTACAAACTTTGGTAATATGCATTTCGTTTAAAACGGAGTAAAATGCGACCAATTTGTGGTAATCAAACGACGTTGGGCGTGGCGACGCACCGACGAGTTCCGAACATTCTTTAATATGCAGCCCACGGGTAAAGTTACCTGTTTTTTTACAAAAAAAAAGTACAAAAAGGTTAAGCGTATTTCCGTAAAAATATTACTAGAAAATGTGGAAAGCATCAATAGGAAGCAAATACTATAAGCTGGCCAGTCTGGAATGCATTCAAATTTATTTTACTAAAAAAACAGTTCAAGCAGGGCGTTTATACCAAGAATAGCGCACACGAATCAGATATTCAGGTCGAAAATAACTTACAGATCTCGAGTTTGTGACCTTAACTGGCGCTTGCCCTGGGCAAATTACGAAGGACTCATGGCCCGCCAATAGTTTGGCATTCAAGCCTGCTGTAGATGGCAGACGCATTAAGGGTGCAGGTTGTAGAACAGGCTCAGCCACTCCCGGGTAGCTCAAGTCAAGTGAGGGCAAGGGTGTCGAGGGTGTAGGTAATGCTTCTGTAAGAAGGTGAGGGAAATTACCTCGCACAAATTATAGTGAAATGGCGAATCCGATTTTCTCTTACCTTTAACGATAATTTGGAACTCGCAGCGTGCCGTAATCCCCTGCTCACTGGTTGCCTCATAGTAAATTGTATGCTTGCCAGCATTAAACAGTTCACCAGGTATCTATTTATAGATTAAAGATGCAACTTTTATATAGTAGTTAAGCCGCACCACTTACTCTCGACTTATAAAGCTTCTTAATTGGACCCAGTGTGCTTTCGAAACGTGGCTCCTTCCATACCACCGAACGATACACTTGATTTGGACTTAAAGCCACCTCAAATGAGCGCGTACAGAAATTCACTTTCGGCGATGCGGCCTGCTCCACATAAATGATTGTCTGGCATCTTGCCCGTCTGCCCGAGACTGGATCGCGACCACGGAATGTCACCACATGCCGTCCAGCGCCCAGATGTGCTTGCATATTGCGAGTCCAAGCTGGGTGAGACTCAATGTAGCGGTAATCCATATTGGTGATGGGTTTTTGTAGAATGATGTGTGCAGTGCTGGCGCCTGCCGCCAAGAAAACTGTGGTGTTTCGTGGACACTTAATGAACGGACGTCGAGCAGCAACTGATCCACCAAAACCGATTCGTGGTCGCACTTGTGTTATTGTGGGTCGATTGAAGAAGCCATTTACTGACGGGCTGACAGGCAGTGTAGGCAGGGGGCCAGGCAAAGGTATAGCTGGCAGAAACTGTGTTCTCGTCGCTGGCATGCATTCGAAGGTAGCGTTGTGCGACCAAGTGAGATCAGCTGTGCAGACTCCCACGCTGTTTCCGACTGGCACATAGCCAGGCTGGCATTGTAGCCGGCAGCGTTCGCCCATAAACACCTTACCAGCTGTACAGGCAGTGGGTATAATTACGCCATTAAGTGGTGGCTGCAAGCGGGGACAAACGGTAGCTGCAAAGCGGTACAGATAAGACTTATCTTTTTCGTTAATTAAGAGGATTGCACTACTTACGCGTACAAAGATTTTCGAAGTTATCCCATTCTCCGGAGGCATTGCAAAACCGTTGTGATGGTCCTTCCAAGCGATAGCCCTCTTTGCACCAAACCTTGCAGCGTGTGTTGTAGAAGTGTTTCTTCTTGTGGCGATATTTGGTACAGTGGAAGTCCCCATTGGCGGGCGCCAAGAAGGGGGCGCACTGATCACGCAGCTCCGGCGCGCGCTCACACGTGCGACGATCCACAGCCAAACGCTGTCCCGTTGGACACTTACACTGATAGCTGCCAATGTGATTGATGCAATCACCGCCAACGCAACCGCCGTTTTCATTCAAGCACTCATTTATGTCTTCACAGTCGCGTCCATTGCGCAGCGCGAAGCCTTTCGGACAGACACACTCATATGAACCATTTGTATTTACGCAGCTGTATTGACAGAGACCTGGTGTGGCGCATTCATCGATATCCTCACACTTCGCGGGATCTTGCGAGCTAACTGTAAAGCCGGGCGGGCAAAGTGTCACACAGCTGTGACCATTGTCCGGCGTTGCCGCGTCTGAGCAGAGACACTCGAAGCCACCGACAGTGTTGTGGCAAATACGTGCACATCCGCCATTGTTGTATCCGCATTCATCGATATCGGCACACGTCTTTCCGTCGACGGAGAGCTCTAGCCCACTTGGACATGAGCAACCTCTTTCGGGATTACAAATGTGAGAGCAACCGCCATTTTCGCGCAAACAGACATCAATCAAGGCTGTGTCCACATCGAGCTCATTGGTTTGTGTATCAATCACAGAAGTTACCTCGACGCAGTTTCTATTGTCAACTGCAAGCGCATAGCCATCAGGACAGTTGCATTCATAGTCACCCAATTTGTTTTTGCAACCATGGCTACAGCCATGTTCGCTGCCTACGCATTCATCTACATCCAAGCAGGTCGCTTTATTCTCACCTAATAAGTAACCTTCTGGGCATATACACTCATAACCGCCCTCTACATTTACACATTCGTGCGAACAATCGTGTCGTCTCAGTGCACACTCGTCAATATCGATGCAGGTGCGGCGATCCTCAGCCAGTTGGAAGCCTCCCTCGCAGCCGCATTCGTACGAACCTAGAAGATTTACGCAGATGAAAGTACAGTTACCAAACCCATTTGCGCATTCGTCAATATCGGCACAGTCGCGCCCATTTGCCAACATTTCGTAACCCACGCTACAAGCGCACTCAAAGCTACCCGGCGCGTTGCGACAAAGCTGACCGCAGCCCCCATTAGCCGCAGCGCATTCGTCAATGTCAAGGCAGGTGCGCGCATCCACAGAGAGCCCATATCCGCTTGGACAATGGCACTGCGCACCCACACCTGGCACTAATGCACACCCATGCGAGCAGCCGCCGTTATTCTGCAAGCAAGCATTCACCAGCAGACAGGAGCGATTATCGGCAATACTTAGCGCATAGCCCGGCGGACAAGAACACTGAAAGCTGCCAGGATAATTCAAGCAAAAATGGGAGCAATTGCCATTCGATATGGAGCATTCGTCGATGTCTAGACATGAGGGTGTATGTTTTATGATAGATGTGGCTGGAGTTTGCATGACTGATGATGAAGCGTATGATTTCGGCGCTGCTGGATGATATGATGAAAGTAAAGCACGCAGCGAAGCATAAACCGGTGGTAAGCCCAGCGCGAACCCCTGTGGGCAGATGCAGGTGAAAGATCCATTAAGATTTTCACACAACATGCCCTCCCCGCAATTGTGCAACCCCAAAGCGCATTCGTCTACGTCGAAGCAATATGACTTGAGCGATCCATCGAGAAACTCAAATCCCGGTTCGCAGGCACAGTCGTACCCACCTGCATAGTTCTGGCAAACCTGATGGCAACCGCCATTGCCAATCTCGCACTCGTTCACGTCAACACACGACTTGCCATCGGCAGCCAGTTCGTAACCGCTGCGGCAGCCACAAGCACCATCATCTTCCGATCTGCAAATCTGTTCACAGCCGTTGTTGTTATCGGCGCAAATATCCTTGTAAAAGCAGTTTAGTCCATCATCAGCCAGTGACATGCCATGCGGGCAGATGCACTTGAAGCCAACACCTTCAGCAATGCATTGGTGCGAACACTGGTGGGCCTCGCAAGGATCGGCGATATGGCAAGCGCCAGTCGCGGCATCGGGAACGGAGCCATCCGTGCATAGGCAGATGAAGCTGCCAGGATTGTTGACGCAGTTTAAAGCGCCACACAGATTAGGATTGGACGCACATTCGTCGATGTCTTCACACACGTGATCGCTGCCATCGGTGAATCGAAAACCAGCTGGACAGCCGCACTGATATTCACCTAAAGTGTTGAGGCATTCGTGTGAGCACCCGTGCAGCTCAGCGGCACATTCGTCGACATCATTGCAATGGTTGCCTTCATTCACATAGCCAGCCGGACAATCGCACTCATATGAACTGTTATCCTCACTTGGGATGCAAGTGCCTGGCGCACAGCTTTCATAGCCGCCTTCCTTGGCGCAAACACTTTCGGCCACCTCGCAATTGTGCAGATCATCGCTCAGCGTATAACCCGCTGGACAAACGCATTCGTAGACGCCACTGGGCAAGTCCTTGCACTGGTAGGCGCAACGTGTCTTATTCAATTGCGGATTATTCAAGTCTTTGCAAGTGTCTATAGCGCATGTGCGTCGGTCTTCGAGCAGATGTTGATTGGCTTCGCAAGTGCAAATAAAGGAGCCGATTGTGTTTTCGCAGCCACCAGAGCAAATCTTCGCAGGCGCAGCATCAGCGTCGTCCTCACGCTCTACAATGACGTCGCACTCGTTTATGTCGATGCAGGTGCGCTCATCGTCGGCAAGATCGTAGCCACCGGGACAAGTGCACTCATAGGAACCCTCAGTGTTGAGACAATGCTCGCACCCGCTGGTGCCCTCAGCGCATTCGTCGATGTCAACGCATTTGTCCGAATTGTCGCCGCCAGCGCGATAGCCACTTGGGCAGATGGGTTCAGTTTCGGCAATGCGGCGTATACCCTGATCGTCTTCACTCACAGGCTCATCAGCGTCTCCATTTCCACTATCTTCAGTATCTTCGTTTTCTTCTGCGTTCTCTTTGGCATCTTCGGGAGTATTGAGCGCTGGTACGCAACGGTAAGAGCCAGGTGTATTCTCACAGCCGGCAGAACACAGCGCTGCCACTTCAGGCTGCTCGCATTCGTTGATATCTGCAAATGCAAAGAAATAAAAATTAGCTCAGAAATACGACTTTTCCACTAATGAGCGTAAATGAAGTTGGTTTGGTGAGTTAGATTGACACTTCGAGATTGCTGCTTCTACACATTCAATTTCAGCTAATTTGGCTAGCAGTCATTAAGCAATTCTGCGTATCAGCTTTCAACGCCACAGCGCACGCACCTTCACAGTTCGTTCCGTCCGGCGACATCAGCCAACCGCTTGGACACAGACAATAGATGCGACCCATTGAGGAGAGGCACTGGTGTGAGCAGCCACCGTTGGCGATGGCACACTCGCCAGCATCTTCGCATGTGTGATTATCCTGGGATAATTGCGTGCCAGCCAGACCTTCGCAGGAACACCTGTAGCCGCGCCACTCGTTGTGGCAGGTGTCCTGGCATGGCCCATGACCGTTGCGTAACAGGCACTCGTTGATGTCTGTGGCAGCCAAAACCGTATGAGTATATGTGCGTGTTGTACGTAGTTGTGTGTATGTGTATGAGTGTGAGTGGCCGTGTCGAATGATTGCGTGTAATACGAATACAAGCGGGTGTTTAACGGTGAAGGTATAAGGAAGGGGTGATGCATGCAATTATATGGAATAAATGATATAAAAGCGTTTAAAATCTAAAGTTCTCTTGAGCAGATGGGCCGGCTGGTCACTTACCGATGCATGTGTTGCCCGTTAGCGTATCGATTTGTAAACCCTGCTCACAGGCGCACTGGTAGGAGCCGGGCAGATTGTTGCAGATTTGCTCGCAGCCGCCATTGTTCAGCTGGCATTCATTGATGTCTTAGCAAAATGAAAAGCGAAAATAAATACAATAAATTGTGAAAAGATATGCTTTCTTTCTATGCTTTAGAATTCGGCGGGCTCACCATGACAACTTGCGTAATTGTTTGGATCCAAGCTGAACCCTTCAAAGCAGGAGCATTTCAGGCGTGCCTCGTTCTCGCCAGGGAAAAGCAGACGCTCGCATTTGTGTTCGCAGCCGCCATTGTCTGGACCGCAGTCATTGTCGAGGAAACGTGGCGTATATGGATCATGTGTGGGTGCGATGACAATATTCACGTCCGTAACGATTGCAGGTTCCGGTTCGGTAATAGGCTCAACGCTGTCAACTTCAACGGGATGCGTAGCTTCCACGTTTTGTTGTACGGTGGGCTCAATCTCATTGCTGATTTCTTGCTCTATAGGCTGCATAGGCTCGACTTCTGCAGGGGGTGGTGGTGGCGGCGGCGCTACACGATTATCAACAGCCCCTTCTTCCTCCTCTCCCTCAGCTTCATCTTCTTCATCGCCATCAACTGTTTCATATTCATCGTATTCTAGCGCCACACAAACATTAATTTCAAAAAGTATTTCTATTTTTAACAACACTCACCTTCTTCGTCCACATCGGTGTATTCGCCCAGCGCCACACACGTCGGCAGTTCTCCTACCCATTTGCGTTGACTGCAGTACAGCGTCGCTATCTCGGCGTCCTCCAACTCGAAGTTGTCATTGCACGCATAGAAAGCCACCAAGAAGATATGGTCGCCTTTGCGTCGCCGATCGTATTTCTCTACAAAGCCATGACGTATTTCTGGCGCCTTCACTTTAGCCTGCACACAGGACATATCCAGCGAGGCGGCCATATCCGCAGATACGTGGCGATCTTCTATTATATCCAGCGGTTTCTTCTTTTTTCCCGCGCGCTCACTGTTTGCCCCGCCAGCCACCTCATTCGAGAGCTCAACTGAAATTTCCGATTTCGTTATTCAGCTCGAAGCCGTCACCGGTGTGGTGTATTTACTTACCTTTTACACAAGTCGGCGGTTCGGCATCCCAGAGGTCTGTATCTAAATTGCATACCAACTCGTTGATGCCTCTCAACTCGTAGCCTTCTTCGCATGTGTAAATGGCTCGCACTGCATCCTCGTTGTCGATTATTTGTATGGCCGAATGCTCGGCGTAGGGCGCGTTCTCACAATCCTCATAACCCGCCAGTGACACTTTTCAAACAAAAGCAAAAATGCAAAGAAATAAAAAAAATAAATGCTGATTCAATGGTGATCACAAATAATTTAAAGAAATAAACATTTGCATGTTCAAGTTGTTGGTGTATAAAAAATAGTGTGGCAACCACCTACTCATTCTCTGTTCCTCAGAAACACGACGCTAATTTTTTCTGGTGAATTTTCACTTTGATTTATGCTTTGATATTTTTAAATGTCTTAATGTTTTCTTATACTACTTTGTACAAACAAATTTGTATAGCATATGTACATTAGGGTATGGGAGACTTTTTGTAAAAAAAAATTGCCGAAGAAGCCATGGGTCTACAATTAATTTGGAGCTCGCTAAATTGCGATAATAGGTTTCGTAGCATTTTACTATAGCGTCGTAAAGAAGTGCTTTAATTATGTACTAAATAAACTACGAGGGGTTTTTTGGTATGACGAATCCATTTTTGCACATATATTTTTCTTAAAATTTTCACGTGGATAGGCAACAGTGAAAATTTTCACATTTTCTACGAAACTTATTTTTGCAATTTGGCAAACTCCAAATTGATTTTAGAACCATAGTTTCTTTGTCAAATTTGCTTAGAGTTGCACATAGAGTCCTGCTGTGCCATATGCGAATTGTCGATAAATATTGACCCGCCCTAATATACATACATACATATGTTTGTATATAAATATTAAAGCGCATATATATATATACATATGTTTGTATGTACATATCGCACCTAAATCAAAAACAGTCACAACTCAAAAAATCCCAAATATTGTGGAGGCAAAAACTTTTGATGCTGCGCAAGCAAAATAAAAACAATTTTGACAGTATTTTTTCAGTTAAGGAAGATGGTGGTGAGGAATAAATTTTGACGGACGTTATACGGGTAAATATCTAGCCCTAACCGCCAAAATAACGTAAGCGACATTTTTTTCAAAATTTTATTTTTGATGCAGAAATGCATCTAGATGCTCTAGGAATATTTCTGCATCAAAAAGAAAATTTTGAAAAAAATGTGGCTTACGTTATTTTGGCGGTTAGGGCTCGATATGTTCTCTGTGAACTGTTTTATAGAAAAAAATTAATTTTGAAAAATTTTTATTTGTGACTATTTTTGATTTAGGGTGTGGTATGGAGTTTGCTCGCCGGCCGGCCTGTCTGTCGCACATTAAACGATTTTCTTATTCAGTTTCCGATCCGTATAGTGATATGACTCTCTCATTTAGCAGCAGCAGTCATAAATAAAGAAATTGAAAAACTTTCAATATCTACATATTTTTTCAATTCAGAATAAAACAACAAACATGTCATAGATATAATTCCCCGGTTTTCGAAAATTAAAAAGAATCGGAAGATAAACGCCCGAATTATGTCATTTTCAAAATCATATCCACCAAAGAAATATATTGACGGCTGAGTGGAAGATCGACCCATCTTCGGCAGCCGGTGCGAAAATGCCCTATATCAGAATTTGATTGAAAAACGCCTTTTCTTAGAATTTTTTTTTCCAAAAACGCCCTGTCTTAACTGAAAATATATTACAGTTATTTATGGTATTCAAAGTAGATGAATTGCCCTATTGAAGATATGCTAATATAGAGCGTTTTTGAGGCGGTAGCTGAGATAGGATGTTTTTGAATCAAATTCAGAAATACGGTGTTCTTCAATGAAATTCTGAGATAAGGCGTTCTCAATCAATATCTGAAAGAGGGCGTTCTTGAAAAGGTTTCTGAGATAGGTCGTTTTCGAACCGGCTGAACTTAAGCTCAGACCCAATCTTCTCAGTACTGTGGAGGTCACTGAATTTTTGTAGGCTAAAAATGGACGAACTAAACGAATGTGCATAAAGGATGAGTTATTAACGATTCCATTGCCGATGAACTTTAAGCACTGTCGACTTTCTACTACTATACATACTTGTGTATCTGATAATGATTAGAGTTTACAATGGTCATATATATATGAAACTTTATTGTAAATATCTTCCTTGGTCTAGTTTTTAGTGTTCATTTTGCATCACCATCTTGACCTTATCACATCAACACTAGCAATGAAATCTACATACATACACATAACTAGCTTAGAGGGAAAGCACAACGTAACTCCATCGAAGCTTTACGAAATTTCCATCCAACCGGCCGGCCAGTTGAGATTTCCACCGGTAGAAGTAGCTGCTACAAGCTTTGACCTTAGTCCGCCCTAATCCAGCCGTGAAAAAAATGACGTAGCCACCTCACATTCGCACAATTTTTTCAGCGTTCTCTAAATTTCCTATGGCTGTGGCTGGTACCCATATTACCTTTAGCTTTGTATTCTGATGTGATTGCATGCTAAGTCGGGCTTTCGCTGACCATTTTAGAGAATATTATCAATGAACCTAGAACATTGATTGCACCTTAATTTTCAGATTATGTCTGTATCATTTTAGTAAAACACCTTAAACGAATTTATAAGATTTGACTTTGAATTAAAAAGGAATAAATTTCCCTTCAATAAATTTATAGTTTATCTGAATTGTAGTTGTCGATTCGTCAGAATTTTATTTTTTTATGTATGTATGTAACTTTGGACCACATGAACCGTTTTTGACAATTCTTTTTTATCGGAAAGGTTTTACCCCAAGGGTGGTCCTATACTAATTTTAGATTCAAAGACTTGTTTGAGCATGTAGTCGGTTTTTTTTTTTGTTGCTTGAGAAATACTTCAATTACGCGCATATATATATATGTGTATTAAAGGAGCATCTTAAACTGCACCTAAAACCAGTATATCGTGAAAATATTATTTTGGAACCCTGTCCAACTTCTCAACCAACTTCAACCAACTTCCGCCCTGATTGCAAATAATACACCTCGCCCAATCTCCCATTGAAGGGATAATGGTGGTCAGTCCGCATCAGTGTGCAATATAGCAGCCGGGAGGAATGCAAATTTTCTTGGAATTCTGGAGGGAACGCGTCTCTTAGCATAAAAGAAGAACGTTATTAATATTAATAAAGAGCTACTTATTAAGTGCTTAGTTTTGTGCTTTCATTGTTATAATAAATAGTAAATTTAAAACCTTTTTATTCGGACACAATTTTCTTTCTTCTCATTTGGTTAAGATATTTTGATCAATACTATTTTGGCCTGGTCCACCACCTTGTTCATAACGAATTCTTGTACCTTATTTCAAATATTTTTGTAAAGTGTTTTTTCCGAGCTTCTCCTCCAATTTGTGATTTGAGTATTGATATTTAAACAAAAAATGTAATGAAGAAACTTTTTCATGGCAGAAATACACTGCGAGGTTTGGCATTGTTTGCTGGATGACGACCGCTAATAGCAACAACTTTTTCTTTGTTTTCGGAAGAGAGCCTAGATTCGACTAACTCTAACCCCTCTGCCACGGGGCTAATTTACTTAACAAGAAAGAAAACCTAATTGAGATAATCCTGTCTTCAGATCCCGCTCTTACAAAATATTTACTCTCGAGCTCTTTTGAAGCTTCCTACCATCTAGTACACCAATTTCAGACGTGACATGGAGCAACGAAAGCGTTCACTTACCACCAATTAACGCCACCACCATCAGCCAAAAGAATTGGCAGTGCGCCGCCATGCTGCTAATCCTTTACGCTTAGCCAAATCAAAAACTTTTGCGAAGAAAACCCAAATAGCTTTACTAAGTACACTTTAATGCGGTGGTGTCAGCGATGTTAAAACATTGTCAGATTTGTCGGTGACACCTTGAATTCTATACAAATTTTTAAAATGAAAATAGCACACATAAAAAATACTTTTTAATCCGCAAGTTCTAAAAATAGCTGTTGATTTAATGTGGAATTATTTGAACACTTTAACAATATGCAGAATAAAAATATGTAAGGAAATAAACGGAAGTTGGAATTTTTTTGCATTCAATTTATTAGCAACGGTATTTCCACATTGCATACACTCTTTCACACAAATGTATGCTCAACACTTTAGCAGGATATGCAAAGCGTTTCTTCTTTTAATTTAGCCACAATATTTTACTTACGCACAACTTAACTTAACCACGGCCGAGAAAAGACTAAAGTTTTGCTCGCCACACTATTTTCCACAAATGCCGCCGCCACTTCTGTCAGATATCATTTTTTATATATACTTACGTATATGTATGTATGTACGTATGTGTTTATGTCGGTGAATATACAGAAAGATATACATAAGTGCTCGCCTGATCGGCAGCCTGCTGCGGCCTCAAAAGCCAAACAACTAGGAAACATTGTCTCCAAAAATCATAAAATGGTTCATAAAATGGATATTCTCTCAGGGGCCCGCTGCCTTGACTCTCCGCATTTTCACAGCTTCCACGCAACAGCAGCAACATTGCCAGCATCACGCCCTGAATTGGCCCACTGGCATGGCGTGCGTGCGTGTGTGTATGGATGAGAATTTACCGGCGATCGCGCCAAAGATCTCCAAGCTGTTTCGCTATTTATGCGACAAAAACTATTATTAGCACATGTGTACATATAGACAGGCAGTGTGTGCGAAGCATTCGGAAAATATGAGTGAATATAAAAAAGTCATTAAACATAAAAAAAAAATAATATAAAGGAAATGGTTCATTCGCCACGATCAGCGTTTGTCATTTGGCTTGCAGGCTGCTTGCTGTCATATGCTTTCTGTTGAACTAAAGACTGGTTTTCACTATGTCATATATTGACACCAAAATTTGGCGACATATTTTGACACAACTTTATCTCCTCTATCCATACCTTTGCCAATGATATTATGGGCCAACAACTGACGGATAGCCGATTTCGAAGTGCATGTACACGACTAAAGACCTATCCTGATCCAATTCAATCGATAAACCGCTTTTTGATCTCTTTTGACAATGTGTTTTCACTTATTTGACGACAAATGCCACTGAATTTGACATAGTGAAAACCAGCCTTAACTCTTCGTTAATCGAATGTGTAGTGACAACGCCCTGTAATGTTTGAAGTAATTCAAATAAATCTTGTGTGAAAATGTTTGCCATTTGAAATGGAGTAATTCTTTGTCGGCAAAGAATAAAATCTAAACTAAAACTTTTAAATGCAAAGTAGTTGCCCGATATTTCGGAGTTTAGCTTTTATTTTATTATTTATGCATACAATTTGATGTACTTTCCACTTTGTACAATTATTCGGTAGTGAAAGTGTTACATCGAATACTTTATTTGATGCTTCACGTAAAAAAGGGTGGAAAACAGCAAAACCTAACTTCAAGAATTAAAAGATGTTGATCAAAAGGCTTTTGAAACACTAGGTCGTGGCAAAGAGAACTTATATGTACGCTGACCATATTTGTGAGAGTCGAATACGGGACAAAAATTAATTTTGCAAATTTTTTCCACAACAGCTTACAGATCTTAAAGCATTCCTGAATGATCTTAGATGTACAAGCCCTTAAAGAGTATCCCTGTAGTAAAATCGCAAATTTGCAGGATAATTTTCTCAAGATTTTAACCCCGTACAAAAAAAAAAAAAACTCATTAAATTTTAGTATAGTATAGTGCTATTTTAAGTCGCTAAGGCTTGCCATTAATTTTGGCATTTTGGTATGTTCGACCATTTTTTTGAAAGAGAAGCAAATGAGGAGCATTTTCCACTAATTAAAAAGTTTGAAATTTTAGTGAATCATTGCAGAATTAATTTTGATAGTTTTTTGCACAAAGTTTGAAATTGGGTATTTTGTTAGGAAAAGAGCTTTACTTTCATAAAATAAATAAACTAAGGAAAAATGGCCAAAACTTATTGGGATGTCGAGTTCTAATTTCTATTTTGGTCACTGCATGTATTCCTCGATTCGAATCACAGGCATTCAGATTAGAAAATAATAACTGGAAATGGAAAAAAGGACGATCGCATGCCATTTTAGTGATCTGTTAAGGCGTCGAAACACCGAATACGGACCAAATACGGGACATTAAAAGAAATACAGAACAGGACGAATAGTCACCGTACTTAGATGTATGATTTTGCACATTTATCACTAGGATTGAAATGAACACGGGCTTAGCATAGAGGTAGTCGGCGACGGAAAACGAAGCACCATTGGGTGTACATGTAAAACATCGTCCACAACATTTTCATGGAGCATAATCACTTACGGAGTGACCTCATATAGAGCAAACAGATGTATGGAGATACCAGAAGAGTTTACAATTGGCAAACTATAACGATTCTTCTTGGCTCCTTCTCGATAGCTAGATCACTTTGAAGCGTTGACCGATAAGTGTTGATCGCGCGCATGTCACATGCTCGATTCTTCTTCTATTTAGGATTTTTGACAATTTTATAATTAGGTGTGTCCTCCTATTGAGCGGACAAAATTATCCAGCAGCAAAAGTTCTGAGAATTTAGCAGCATTCGCTCGCAAAGAGACAAAAACAGCGGATCACTTCCACAGTTGCCTCCGGTGGTTGATTTGGCAATTTATTTTCTGCTTGCTACATTTTCCCCCGATTTGGCATTTTATACAATTGAATAGCTTTGGATAAGAAAAACCTTTTTAAAATACAAATTAATTATATCATAATGAATAAGTTATTTTGCTTATGATTATTTGTGATATAACATGGTGACGCATTCCCAAGCCTGTAAAGCTGGTTAGCTTCGTAATGTACGATTTACCTATGGTTTTCGTCTTGCACGCCTTACTATACCTTCTCTGCATGCTGGTACCGATTATCGTGTATGGCCGGCAACTTAATCATGAGGTTGTCATTGTAGGTGACCAATTGCCGTCGTTTTTTAATCTCACTGGCATCGTACCTTTGCTGCAGTGGCTTTGTTTTTTTGCCCCAAGTTAGTAATTGTTAAATGTAAACGAAAGTAAATTGACACCTCCTGCATCAACCGGGGTGGGTCTAGTAGTTGCTCCTTTTTTGTGCTATCAACTAAAGGGAATTTTTTTTTATATACAAGAACGGGACGACGGTCTTGGAGAATCGCTATTTGATATTAAACCTTCTTTCCTATTATTTAACAACTGTTCGTCAGTCTGGGCCAAGACCAAAACACTTTGCGGAATTGATTCTCTCCTTTGAGAACCTGTAACTGCATAGAGACAGTATTAAAATCCTTTAAAAGCTCTTCAGGCGTATCTAATAGGTATCCTTACTATTAGCCGACTTACACACGAATACATTTCATAACCGCTAAGAAAATCCAGTCGGACTGAGCAGGCAATATTCCCAATTTAAGGCATTTTACTCGCATATAGTGGGAGGTCTTCGCTACTGCTCTACAGTGAGCTTCCGCTACAATTTGCTATCCAATTTGTACTCGATGCTTCGGTTAAGTGTTGTCTGAAGTTTGATGTTGGTGCCATCTCACCAGGCCATCTATTAACGAAGTTAGTTACACATTCACCCCATTTTAGCACTGCTGTGTTGTCAGCGATAACTCTGTGCACACTAATCACACAGATCATCTTGGTCCTCAATGAGCTGACATTCTTCTGCAACCTTGGGCCTCTGTGCATAAATGACCTTGTGACTTTTTCCATTAAGTCATTGTCTGACACGTTATTCGCATTGTTTCCCTCACTTCTGACAACTTGGTGCTTTTCTTTATCCATAACGTGGAAATTTTTGAGTTTTGTGCTTGGTGCGTTTTTTGGTATTTTTTTGTTTAATTTGTAGACTGTAAAACATAAAAAAAAAATTGGTTAAATTTATAGCAATTTGAAAGCAACTTTACAAAAATTGAAACAAAATCATGACACAATGACAATCATAGGCGAGAACGTCCACAAAACAAGTGGCAGCACTTGCAATCATGACATGAATTGCATTCGGTAATTCGCCATTGCCTGCCAAATGTCGACTGCTATGAGAAAAAGCTTCCGGTTGCTGGCACCAGGAAACTAGCCCAGAACCTATTGAGGGGTGGTGCGCCTTCAAACTATTTGGCCGCCACAAAGTGCGAAAAATCACGTTTTATCAAAAAAGCTGCTCATATCTCAAGCCTTTAATTTTGGGCTGAATTTGTTAGATTTTTCACAGTAAAATAAATAACGAACCTTTAAAAAAAAGAATTATCAAAATAGGGTTAGATTTGAAGAGTGGACGCCTTTTGTGACACAAAAAGATTTTTTCCCACTGTGTGCCGGTGGATAATACGCTGCAATAAGGCATACATATTAAAAAGGGAATATCAAATTTCCTTAAGTTTCAGATTTCAAGAAAAATTTAACATTTACATAGGTAAACCGTCAGGAAAAAATTTATCAATTTTGCTTAAATTTAAGCAACGCTGGACACAGCTCCACATTAGATAATAAGAACAAGAATGTTAACTTCGCTTGGACCCGAATTTTTTAATTTAATCCTGTTTCTGGAAAGTTTTTTTTCTGGCAAGGGTTTTCTCTGTCAGTGACAGCCATATAATAATGAACTATCAGTCCTCTGGGCGTTTTTTCTGAAGCTAAACTCTTCCGAGATTTTCATTTTTGCAGCTGCAGAGATTCTCTCGAATCCCTCGAAGAATTATCTCTCCTTGTTTCCGGACTGGTTATAGCACTCAACACCTTGCCTTGGGCAACTGATTCTGGTGTTGACTAGATATTCTGACAATGATTTTTTTCCACCACCAGGACAAGCTCTGGCAAGCGATGGCGATACAATGGCAAACTATCTGTGCCTGTCCAGAATAGAGAAATATTTCCGGCTATGTAGTCTCTTTAAATCCTAACATCTTTTATTTCAGCTTTTTTTTGTACATCTATGTTTTTTTTTTTATTTGGCTCGACATTCAGTTTTAATACTTACCCTGCAATGTTGAATAAAAATAAGTTTTTTGTTTACTGACGAAATAAATGCATAATTCTTTATTAAAGCTTTGTCCACCAACAATGGCGATTGAAAATTTCCATTTCAAGTTGCACCTAAAAAGTGCATAGGGTATAGCTGAAGTTAAATAATATTTATTTATTGCAATAAGCTGCTGTTAGTGGGCTGCAATAAGATAATCCATTGAACTTTCAGCATTTCAAGTAGTTTTGCTATCGAGCTTCAGATTTGCATAAGACACGTTTAACATACCCACGTATGAGGTTTAATGTTCTGTATGTGAATATATGCATACATA